ACCACTGTATTCATTATACATCTTCCCCAAAGATGTAGTGTTTAAGTATTCAAAAAAAAAAAAAAAAACAACATAACAAGCTTGCAAAATCCTAAATGAGTACTGCTTTAATTGGCTTGAAAAGATACATAAACTCAGGCTTTACATCCACACTGGCATGCTAGAAGCAATTAGGTAGTCAGTTCGTTGCATACATAAACACTTTCCCCCCACCCCCCCAAAATTAGATTTGGACAAAAAATACAGGAAAAATACACTCTTCACGAAAATACATCCACACCTCCGTGCCTCCAGCTCCAAGAACTGCTCCTGCAACTCCTGAAGATCTTTCCGTAGGCCTGATGACTCGGTGCTTGCTTCTTGAAGCATCTCCTTAGCATGGATCAGCTCTCGAGTGCGTGCCTCTAGCTCCTGCTCTGCTTTGCTTAGAGATTCTTCCTTTTTCAAAAGCTGAATACCAGAACATTAGCAAGAAATGTGAATTGGTAATACTGACAGTCTTCTCATTTGAACAGTCTCCCTTATTAAGTTATGAGATGAATTAAGTGAAGTAACTCCTAGAAAAGACTGCTGAAATACTCAATGCAATCCCATACGTACGTACCTACTGATAGGATTTGGACATGGAGTCACGCTGGACACAAGCATTAGGGCCAAAAAAAATTAATGCAGTACTGCCCACTGGGTGTTCTAACAGAAACTTTAGAAAAGAAGTCGTTCTTAAAATAACGTTACCATGTGTTTAACTTTGGCCATTTCCTGCTGTTGAAAGCCTTCCAGTTCATCAATTTCATCCCTCTTTTGAAAAAGGTTCAAACTCTGCTCCCTCATTTCTTGTAACTGTGTTTCAAGCGTTTTTTTTTCCTGATAAACAAACAAAAAAGGAATCCAAGAACATCTATGAGTTAATTTGAAGTCAGTGGGAGGTCAATTAAATTCTCTGGGAAATAAATCTGTCCTGCAACCACAAGGCTCTGCGACAGTGCTATACACAGAATCACAACTTCCTCTAATTCAACCTGCAGTAGGCAATCAATACGTTTCTAAAGTTTTTCTTTAAAAGTTGTCTTCACTGCCATACTCAACTCACAAGGTAGATATAACCTATCTAAAAAATTAACAGCAAACAGCAGCATGCTCAGCATCTTCATAATAAGAGGTACTTTAAAGTTTACCTTTAAACAGCCACAGCAGAACTGAAATCCTATACTAAGACAATTCCTACCTAATAGATTCCTTTCTTTTATGAAACAGATGACCAACTAATGAGCTCAGACCAAGTCACCACCTCTTTCTGTATCCCAGCTGTCTCCTCTGTAATTAAGGAAACTATAATTCCACCATATAAAACCACAAAATCTTTCTCTTTGCAACCCACCATTCTTTACTTCCACATTAATGAACATTAATTCCAGAAGTAGCTCATGGAGCATTGGCACTGCTAATAAAGGCAGATCTTCAGCCCTACTCACTGATCAACCAGCAAAGAAAGGACTGAACAGGGCTGTGCTATAGAAAATATGTGGGGCACTGTTTGAAAATATAAAATGAATCAAAAGCTTTATTACCTTTTCAATGTGACTCAATTTTTCCAACCATTCCTGAACGAGAAAGAAAGAATTAAAATCACAACCCAGCTGCAGACTTTTGAGTATAGCATTCCTGATAACAGGAATATTAAGATGAAAAAAGCAATTACCAAAATAAAAATAACAGATGGTATTTTTATATACAAAAGTAATGGAGTAATTTATGTTATCCAAATACATAAGTATTATTCAAGTAAAATAAAATAAAACAAAAATGACAACAAGGCCAACCACAATGGAATCTTATCAAACACGTGTGCAGACTTTATACCAGAAATTTCTGTGGGCTCTTTTTAAAAAGATTAATATTCAGAACAATTACAAGCAACCTGAATTTAATATTCCTTTCTTTGACTTTGACACACTAAGCCAATCCAATGCAGAACAGCTACTTTAATGAATGTACTCAGATCTCCACAGCCAGACAAAGGCTGAGTTGTTAAGCTCCATTACCTGGTCCTTTTTTTCTAAGGCCAAAGCCATTCCTTCAGCCATCTTGGCTCGGTTGGCCTGGTGGGCTTCATTCTGCTCTTGAAACTTCCTCATGGAAGCTACCAACAGAGAAGCACCAAACTGTATTAAAAATCCATATTTTAAAGTTGCTTCTGAAATTTCTATGTTATTTATACATTTATAGAGCTGCTTCTTCAAGTATTCAGCACCATCTCAGCTCTAGCACTAATACTGTGCCACTTATCACACAACACTGCCTGCACACAAGAGAAGTGTCACAAGTAACAGAAGATGTCTTCTGTTCTTCATTGGACTACAACAAAGCCATAGGTTTCAACAAAGTCCCTACTACACATCAGCCCAAAATTTGCCAAATAGAGCATAATAAGAACTTTACTCAACAACCAGCACATTACTGCTGTTATCACATCATAAGTAAGGCAGGAGCCTGTTCTACCTCTTTGCAACTTGCATGTATACGGTTTGAAAATAAATGTTTAAAAAACTGTATGTAAAAATTGTTTCTTTCCAGTTATATTTAAATTATAGCAATTTTCAACTATAAGAGAGATTAAAAATTAGTACGTACAATCTTGATGCTTTTCTAATGCATTTTCAAGCTTCTCTTTTATCTTCTGCAAGTTTCGGATCTGATCAGCATAATCTTGTGTTAGGAGGGAGAAGCACAGACCAGGAATGGACAGACATTGGGGAAGGAAATCAGGAAAAAAAAAAAAGGGGGGGGAGGAAAAAAAATAAAAAGATGAGTGGAAAACAGCAATGATTTTCTCAACTAGAAAATCATTTCTTCTGAGGAAAACTTGGGTGACTGTAATGATGAAGACAAGCAAGTAGCTCCCCACTGCCCATAGGGTAAATGGGTGGTACAAACAAGAGGGTCTGTCCTAGGTCTGCTAGCTACATGAGAAGTTCCACTCCATACAACAGGGATGGGAAGGAGTGTCAGAACAGAACCCTTAATGACAGCTCTACAGAATGAGGTATTATCTTAGAAAGCAAAACAGCCTTGAGACTGTTTTATGCTGAATTCTTTCCTTTTACTTCATTTCACCTGTGTTACTGTCAACATCAGAAGTCTTAGATCCTAAGAGAAACAAACCATCACATACACAAAATAATACCAAAAAAAAAGGGGGGAAAGCATGGGGGCAGAAATGCTACCTAGATGAGAATGATAGGGGCTTACTACAAGTTAACGTTCTAAAATGAAATAAACATTTTTCAGAACTCCGAACACTGAAGTTGAAAGGAAACTACCTTCTAAGCCATCAGATTTCACATGTATCGAGACACATACCAGACAGCTTGACTTCCAGTTTTCTTATTTGTTCATTTCTTCTGAACAACTGGGATGAAAGATCCTCTCTAGAGCTGCTTCCATCAGAAGCCTTGACAGAAGAACAACAATGTAACTTACAAAATGCAGTCAAAATAATCCTGTTAACCCTATGACAATAAACACTGCTCAATCTAGGAATGATGCAGGGGATTCTTTAAAATAGCCTATAGCAGAAGCAGTTTGTTCCAACCCATCACTAATATGACAGCACAACAGAATGGCTAGGAAAAAAAAATATCAAGCTCTAATAATGCAGAGCTCAGACTGGGTGGGTCAGAGAAAAAGTCTTCTGGAAAAAATAGAAACTATGAAAAAAAAAAGCAACAATATTTATGCGGAGTGAACTTAACAGTCTTTCCACGCAAAATCCAAAGCATAAATGGCACGTGATTCTCTATGGCTTTTTAGCTGTATTAAATCTGCATTAAGAGCAGTTAAATGAATATTAAGTTTTGGAGTTTGGAAATCTTGCTTTCCTACTGCTTCAGAAATTAATCTCACAACTAGGCATCTTACATATTTGTTCACTTAACATTCACTCAACGTCCTGTGTCTGCTTAATCATGTTTTGTATTCAGATAGCTTTGTAACTAGTGCTTACATGAGTAAACGAGTAACTCTCATAGTAAACAGCCAAATATTTTCCCTTTGGTATTTAAGCTGACTCAAGCTACTGATTCCTCTGCACGTTAAGACATATACCCACAAAGGCACCACAAAGCATTCTCAACTCACACAGCACACTTAAAATGGTTCCTGTAAAGCAGTGACAGAAACACGGCTTGAGAAGCAGCACTCAGAGTAAGGCACAACTCACAAAGTCGTCTCCCGAGTCCGCTCCCACGGAGGTGATGGACTCCTTGCTGATGGAGCGTGGGATCCTGGCCGCCCCCCCGGGCCTGGGAGCAATTGCTGCCTCTTCTGCGATCTTCTTCTTCAGTTTCGCAAACATTTTCCTATACTCCGTAGCACCGGCAGAGCCAGGTGCTTCAAAAAGCCACTGCCTGCGATAGGGCTAGCACATCGATGTTCTGCTTACAGCTTCCAGATGCCCAGGTGTAATTTTGTGCCTCATCCACTCAGCTTTATCGCATTTCTCGTTCCATCAAAGACCCCATGGCCTAACGACACCTGCAAGTTAAGGCGATAAAGCTTCTGTGCCAAAGACACCCACCCGCATTAGAGATATCTAAAGCTTTGTGACGTTACCCGTCGCAGCCCGCCCCGCACGGCACCCTCAGGTGCCCCAACCCCAGAACCGGGCCCGGCCGCGGCCCCAGCAACGGCGGGGCGAGTTCGGGCGGCCCGGCAGGCCGTTCCCGGCCGCTGCCGCCTGTTCAGAGTCGGCCGCGGCCCCGGTTCGAGCGCTACAGTGCAGTACAGCACAGTACAACACAGTGCGGCCCGCTCCGCCGCGCCACCCCGCCCTCACCGCCCGCCGCCTCGCCTCGTCCGCCGCCGCCGGGACCGCGCGCCGCCGCCGCCTCCGGCGCTGACCCGGAAGTGCCGCGCGGGCGGAAGCGCCGCCGGCCGTTACGCATGCGCAGTTCGCCCGCCCCGCCCCGCCCCGCGCGCAGTGGAAGAGGCGGCACACCGGGTGATGGCAGCAGCGAGCAGGCCGTGCGTCGTGCGTTTATTGTCATTGCCAGTACAGAGCAGCGGTACCGAAGGTGTTCATCGCGGAATGGACCGATACCGAGTCTCGCTTCCATCTCGGCTTTTCCCCGACAATTCCAGCAGCAATACAAACACACTCCTTTCCTCCCACAGACACCAACAACATGGGCAGAGAACGCTCTGGCATTACATTGCTTTGGCAATTTACAGATCCTTTGCAAAAAAAAGGCTATTTGCTCCAAGACTTTTATTCATATATCTCTATTTTAAGTAAAATATGTGTGTTTTTGTTTTTTATTTTTATTTTTTACCAAAATACGATTTACAGGCACATGGCTGTCAAATGACTTTAAGTTAATTCATTATAAAATTACTTTTGGTACCAAAAGGTCCGATTTCTCTGAACGCTCCCAGCCCTGCCCTGCTGCACAGCGGCTCCTGCTCCGCTCCTAACAAAGCCCTGACGGGGGAGCGATGAACGCGTGCCAAAGGAGACCTGCAGCGCCAGCAGGGCCGATGGTAAGAGCGGGCCTTTATGCTTGAGCCAACAGCTGCTGCTACATCTGGCAAAGCTAGAGGCTCCAGGGCTCCTTTGGGAGCTGCAGTATGCTCTCAGTGTGAAGCCAGGAGCTTCAAGAGCAAATCATCTCTGTGTGCAGCAGTGTACCAACAGGAACGCAGAGACGCTCTTTGATATTCCAAATGATGCGATTCGGAAAGCTCAAACTAAATCTCTTTTGTTTTGGCAGAGGAATGGTTTAGAGTAAAAAAAACCCAAAATAATAATTAAAAAAAAAACGTCTGATGTATTCCTTCTGTTCCAGTTGCACACATCTGAATCTTCAAAGCACGTGCAATAGATTTGGTCATAGAAACAGAACTGCTCTAGAAGTCAGAGACATTAGGAAATGTCAGAGAGCCATCTCAGCAATATGCAACCTCTCCACTTCGCAGACTTCTGCCCCACCCTGCACCAACACCCCTCGCACAAGCTGACAGTGCTGCCAGGCAAAGTCACCAAGGGCTGTGAACAGCTTCCAGTCTGCGGAGCTCCCTCAGCCACAGAACAGCAGCAGCCATCACACATCAGCTGCTGACACCTAAGCAGCCACTTGGTCCGGAAAGGGCAGGACTAACCGAGGGCTCTGCTACTGCCATCATTAGTGACCTGTAATACAAACATCTACTGAGGAATCTAACATAGATAAAGCTGTTACAAAAGAAGCCTCAAGACAAAACAAAACAAAAAACAAGTTGTTCAGACGGATTCCAAGTTTTTTTTAGCTTTTAGGAAGAAGCAGACTTGGGGCATAGCATGGAGTTACAGTGTAAGGATGAAGGCAAAGCAGAGGGAGGCACTTCACAACAACATGCCTGTGGATGAGCGATGGAGTGATAGATACTTTCGTTCCTAGAGGAGCTGCCTGATCAGAACTACTCACATTGCAGATGATTATCTGAAGCCTAATTCCCCGTCTCCATCTATTTCCTGCGAACCTTAAAAGACATCTCTGCACATCTCCCTATGGAATAGTCTTGAGAGCTTTAGTAAGTCATAACCTGACAGATACTGTTTGATAAACTACCAAACAAACAGTCCTGAAACTTCTTGAGAAAGTACTCCAGGGAGCAACTCCAGTTTGCAAAGCTCACAGAGCTAATGCTCCATTTAGTTGTGCATGAAGAAAATGAGACATCATATCCCAGGAGTAGTTAAAAACACAGCTGTAAAGATTCGTTACCTTCTCTTCCCTTCCCACTGTTATTTTGACAAGTCAAAAAGGCAAAAAAAGAAGGCAGCAACACTAACTGTGGCTAAGATGTTTGGAACAGAGGGGGAGGAACAGAGGTGCCTCCTCTGAAAGTAGGATTAATTCAAACGTATTACATGCAGAAGAAATAGGAAGCTAGGCAGAAGCTGTCCAATACACAGACATCCAGTACAGTTCACATTTTCCTCTCATAGTACATAACATACAGAATTTATCCTTGCCTGTTGATGGCAAGTCTTCTCTATTAACATGAGCGAAGGGTTAGCAAGACAAGAGGGAAGGCATTAAGCCTGAGAAGAAAGGGATCTGTTCTCACTCAAAAATGGTTCAGTCTTCCCCTTGCTTCTAGTGAGGACTGCTAAATACACAAACCAAAGTTTTCTTCAGTACCTACAAGCATACACAAAGAAGGTACCTATGACCATAGCACAAGCACACAGTAGCACAACTTTAGAATGACTCAGTAAGTTCAAACAAGACAAGCTTTTACTTGGAGAGAAAATTTCAGTTTTCATCTTGAAAGCAGTTGCTTTGGGTCAGAAGGGAGGGGGCTGGCTCAAAATCCAAGACCAGATACTTATCCATCTACAACTAGAGCAGACAGAAGGTATCAGCCTTTTTCTTTGTAAGGTACACTTTTGCACTCTTTCTAACACAAGTGAAATCTTTATCTTTGAATAACCTTGTCAGCAGCAGTCCTTCTGAACCAAAGGTCAGAAGGCAATATGAGAATGAGGGACCTCCAGGAGGAATTTTTTATTTGGACAGTCATTGCTGCTAAGAAATTCAACTTTTGAACTAATTTTGAAAGCCTCACATTCTCCTGCTATATTCTAGCATCTGCAGCTTTTTTGTTTGTTTTGTTTTTTTAAAGACCTTTTCTTAGGGCTGCACAGTGGATTAGAAACCTCTAAGATCACAAGCAAAGACTCCTTGCTTCAGCCCAGCTAAAATGAAGACTGTCTGCCAAGGTTTTCCCATTCAGTTCACAAACAACTTCCCACAGAAGTTCACCAGCTCACGCTAATGGAACCATCACTCCTATCCTCAGAATTAGCATACTGTCATCCAGATACATGGAACCAAAATGAGAACAGTTTCATCAAAGCAAATGCTAAAGCAAAACAAAAGCATTTGATTGGAAGGCAGTGAGCTTGGGAAATCTGAATCCTCCTCTACTGTAAGCTGAACGCTGCCGAAGGAGGAACAGCAGGCAGGGTAACAGAAAATCCCTCTCTCTCACTAGCTGCTGCATTAAAGGCCTTCTGCTATCTTTAGCTTCCACACAGAATCCCACATTTTAATAAATGGAGACCTCCTACCAGAAGTAAAGGCAGATCATCTGCTTCACAGTTCAGAATCTATGAATCCAATCACTGTAACACATAGAGAAGTACTCATTCCCCCTGGCTAACTGAGGCTTCCTGTATCTGAAATCACTTCTGAATTACTTCAAGGACAAACTGCAAGTCCCTTAAAACAGATTATTACAATAGCAGAAGAGCTGTAACTTTTATGACAACCACAAATGATCTGGAATACTTTGGGGAATGCACCCAGAATGGCGTATGTGTGTATATATAAATTTTGTATATAGACATTGTACTGTTTCATACTTTTTAATACATATACAAGTACCTATACATATATACATATTTACAATTTACACCAGCCAGTAGATGTATGCGTATTGTACATATACACACAAACGCCTAGAACACACATGCACACACACAAACACGCACTCTTTAAAATAAACTCCATATCCCATGTAACAAAGTCCTGCCAAAGTCCAAAGAACAGCACCAAGTGGTGGGGGCCCAACACAACAGCTTCAAGACTGCTTAGAACAGACACTACTTTTTTTTTTTCTATTTTTTTTTTTTTCACTTTAGAAATTAAGAATGGGTGGCATCAGCTGCATCCCAGATAGAGAGGACCTTCACAGCAACTTCCCACCTTCACTCCAGCAATTCCTGATGTGCCATACCGTGCTATCCACAGCTGAACGAAGGCTCATCAGTGCTGAACTGCTGCCCTTCACTATTCCAGCTGAGTAGATCATACCTTGTATGACAACACTTGCAAACAGGCCTACTGTGACAACTATGGTAGTCACCAAATTTTGCATTTTTTTCCCCCAACAGAAACAGAGACATGGCTGAGGTTCAACATAAAAGTGCTGATCATACTCATTCTTTCAATGCCTTTCTAGTACATGGAACAGTGAACATAAACTCATTTAATTAAAATATTTTCATTCCTTCCCCCTGCTCAAACCTTTACTATCAGGAGTTGCAAGAGGTCCTCTAGCTCTGCAAAGAAGGCAGTACAGTCTAAGAGAGTCAGGGAAGCACTTTTCTCCAGTAAAAGCCTTTGCAGAGGCCATTGCACTCCTTAAGCTCCCTAGACCGAAGGATACTACAGGGCTACCAAACACAACCACAACCTCTCCTACCAGCAGTAGAAGAGGTTCTACTGGCAGTACTCACTTTGTTTAACTCGTGAGAGGAGTACTGGCATCCCTCTCTTGGGGTACAGCTCCAGCACAGGTTGGTCTAATAAATGGGGGATAGGAAGGACTTGTATTCAGCACTTATGGGACATTCTTTCAACTCCAGTCAGGGAATGGTAACACTGTGGGAGCCACACATTTCATCCACACAAAGAAAGGAAGATAACACCTGCTAGAAATTAAAGAATATCTGACTAGTGGCTCACAATGAAGAATGTTATCTCCTAGAAAACTGTGGCAGCAACAAAAATGGCAAGATGATCCTTATTACAGTGAAAGAGAGGTGCTAGCTTTCTTAGTTTTTAATTCACAGATCTGCTAACCACATATCCCACCAGACAGAGGGGAAATTGTGTCCTTGGCCAGCAGTTCAGAGTTTATACATGACATTGCTGTGTCAAATCTGTAGGGAGCATTAACTTTCTTTACAACTTCATTTCAAACTCACTGTCTCCAAATGCAACGCAACTTAATCTTCCACAGTTTTGTCTACTTACTTGCCTAAGACTGAAAAAATATACTGGTTATGAAGGACTTCGTTTTATTGCTATTGTTGGTTTGCACTGTGTGGTTCCATCTTTATCATTTCAAATCCAGACTCTTTGGGGACAAAATATCATTTTTCTATTGATTTTTTTCCAATTTCTTAAAATTGTATAAAAATAAAGGATTTCCACAAATGTGGGATAAAGGTAACCAATAATACTTCTATGCTTAGGATCAGCTGTTGGAAATGTGGTTGACAGCCACAAGACCAGAAATAAACTTCTAGCAATTCTTTAGTTTAACATTTAAAAGACATGAAAACTTCTTATAAAATTGACCCCCCCATACAGAATGGAACAGCTAACCTAACAGCTGTTTATTATTACTTTTTAAAATAATGGTCCTAAGTTTAAAAATAAAATCAAGTACTTCCTTTTATGATTTTCACATTAGAAAACTGCACCATTCAAAATCTGTGGCCAGGGAAACCCCTTTGCAGTAAGACAGTTTTTCTTAATAGTCGTCAAGAGTGTTTTCCAGGAAAACATTTCTAACATCCAGTATGGAAGCCAGCTCCAAAATGTGCTTTTGGAGGTGAGGGTTCTCCACCGTTTCATCTCTTGGCAGCTGAGGATAAGATTCTGGATAATTTCGTGTTTCCTGCTAGATGACAGTGAAAACAAAAAGAATCAGACATTCATTTATTTTTATAGCTTTTCAGAAAAAGACTACAAAAGGCCAATTTCACATAAGAGAGAACCCAATCTGTTTAGCCTTCCAGAGAGAGAAAAGATTCTATCAGAAATGATGCCACTTCCAGTTTTCCTTTTCCATTAACTCAGAGTGGCACTACAAATGCCCATTCATCTAAGATGTTTAAATCATACATTCATAAAAGCTTTGCCAAATAAAATAAAATAATAATAAAGATTAAAAAAAAAACAAAACAAAAAAAACCAACTTGACCTATACTTACCTAATAGACCAGAATTTATTTCTTAAAACTGTAGACACTTAAACATCTCCATGGGAGATTTGTCTCATCCTAAAACAAATCCTAAGACACCAGGGACTAATCCATCCCCACTCACAGATGACCTATTTTTCTCCAGGAAGCCTAGTAGCTGACCTCGGTTTGGAAAGTTACTAGATATCTGTAGTTACAAGAGATGAATACTGTACACTTCCTGTGTTTTGACTTTCTTTTTTTCTTCTGTAATATTTAAAAATAGAGAAGGCAGTTGATATGCCAACAGACAGAAATATAGAATGCTGCAGATCCAAAAGTAGGATTTCATTGTTGGTACAGTATTAACCAGCAGGGAGGGAAAATACCATCTTCCTGCTTAGTTTACTCATTAAAACTTCAAACACCTTTCAAACTCCAATCCATGTTAGAATACATTCCAGCAGTGAAGTTCCACTCCTTTCTACTTCCCTCTCATATTCTTGTTCTACACCCTTTTAGTTGTGTAGAAATAATAGCTTTCACTATCAAAAGGATTTTTTTCTACCAGACAAAGGTATTTAGAGTGGCTCAGAATATCTGCTACTTACGTAGAATATTAAGAATGAAGCAAGACAAAGGCTTCATGTGTTTGGAGAGGTACAAAGACACAAATTCAATACAAGCTAAAGGCATTAGCACGTGAATATCAGCTCTCTTTCTGAGGTCACAACTATATGTTTAGCCATTAGGCCCTTCCATCCTGCAGTTCTATAAGCACTCAACTGTCATTCTCACAAAGGGACAGATATCTCTGCATACCCGGAAAATTTTGTGCATCCTCATAGTAGCTGAACAGAAGATAAATCTTGTTAGAAGCAAACGAAGAAATTCATCCCCAAAAAACTGAAGAAAGGATTGATCTATAAAAAAAAAAAAAAAAAGGCAACAAACAGAATCAATTCAGAAAGGCTTTAAAAATAAGACCTGAGGAAGCCACAAATACTTGTATGCCTCCTCCCCCCTCGTTTGCTACTCTGTCCCTTGGAAAGGCTGAGCAGGAGAAAACAGCATCACCTGAAGAAGCACACCAAGTCTCCACTGTAAGTCTGGGGGCACATACCTATGGAGCGGGAGTGGGTCAGCAGCTGTGCAATGTCTCGATTGATTTTTCTAAGATAATCCTGACACTTCTCCCACAATCCTCTGCGCATGCTTGATAATCCAGAGACAAACAGGAATGCCATTAAAGGATTGTTCAGAAAGAGTGTGAAGAGGCTACCCCGCTGAGACTGATCTGAAAATCAATAGACAAAGAGATACATTTGGCACATGAAACAGAAAAGCTGTCCTTGCCTCAGAATGAAGCTGCTCACCCACTACATTCTCTAACAGCAGAGTTTGTGTCAGTTTCACATACTTTCATAACCTATCTGTTCAAGGTAATGCACATGAGCACAGTGCTGAGACGTCTTAGCAGACCCTACCTAAGCCCCAGTGCCAGCCTCTGTACTGCACTCCAGTGCACACTGTACCACACCCTCACAACTACAGCAAGACATTCCTGACTGATCAGTGAACATCACACAAGCATATAATATTTGATAAAGAATTCAGCTCTATTTTTCAAAGTCTGTTTAAACTGAATTAATTATTACAACACTTACTTAAGTGTTAACACTTAAGTTTCAGCTAAACAGCGGAACTAGATCTGAAACTAATGAAAAGTGTCTACTTCTTGCACATCTGCTCATGCTGCTTGCCTAACACTTCTCTACATACCTTAAGCTACACCCTCATACTTGTCTTTGTGATGAATAGTAACCTTAATATGGCAAATTCCAATAAGGAAATTTTGAATAGAATCACAGAATGCTTAAAGTTGGAAGGAATCTCTGTAGGCCATCTAGTCCAACTCCCCTGCAATGAACAGGGATACCACAGCTAGATCAGGTTGCCCAGGGCCTTATCCAGCCTAGCCTTTAAAGTCTCCAAGGACGAAGCATCCACCACATCACTGGGCAACCTGTTCCAGTGCTTTACCACCCTCACTATAAAAGCTCTTTTCCTTATATCTAATCTCTTTGAGCTTGAAACTATTTCTCCTTGTTCTATCACCTCAGACCCTGCTAAAGAGTCTGTCCTCTTCTTTCCTGTAGGAGAATAATTATTATTTTATCATAATCACATAGACAGAAAAATGATGTTTCTTCTCCTGATCCTGCTATGGACCCACCTTCTCAGACAACGCAAATCCAAGTTTTCCTAAATCAGAACCAGATCTGAGAGGATTTTGCTTCACATTTGACATTTAGAAGCTGACACCTTAATGCATTCTGCTGCCCTTTGGGTACTAATAAATCTATCTCAAGTGCTAATAATAACAGCAATAATAAAAATACAATAATAAGAATCCCAGCACTGTGCTAGAAAATGCCATACTATAAATACCTTGTAAAGCTTTTGGATATGCTGTTGGAGAGAGCAAGCACACCAATGGTTGTCCAAATAAGTTCGTGAAATTCTGTAAGAGATAAGAATTTAAAAGTATTGATTGTCAATCCGCTTGCTTCTGAATATTCAACAGGTTAAGGGTACAAAGAATGACATAGAACACGCTACTGTCATACAGTTAAGATTGGTTGTAAAACTGACAAATTGACTTACTCCTAGCTCACAGCACAGAAGAGAGATAATCCATTACATTTTTAAGGCTGCTTAATCCTCTCATTTCACTACCACTGCTAGCAGACACTAATTTCATGGAAATATGGCTTTCATTAGTAGGCAAAACAAACAAACAAGAAGGATATCCTATAATAGAAATGAAAGCCAATGGCATTAAGGTCAAAAAAGATCTACTGTTTCTCCTCAATACCAACAAAATTATCCCATTAAAGTGCTTTCTTTATGCTTTTCTTTCCAGGAGAACTCTGCCTGATGAAACAAAAGAGCCTAATGGAGAAAAGTTTTAAAATTTCTTCACTTTAAAACAAATAGATCATAACCTTAACATCTGCTATATGGAAGCCACGTTGTAAAATATCTATTTAACAGACCTTCTACCAACATTTTAAGGATTGCACAGGTGTCCTGTTGCACACAAATTCCTCCAGAAACTTTAAAAGAAGTCTTTGTCTTGTTCCACTACCATTTACCTCGTAATAATCTTATTATGTATCTAACAGGCATATTAATTGGTAATAACGATTACCACAAAAGAAACCCACAATGAACTTTCCCACATTACCTGTCATCTGTCTTGTCAGCAACAGCTTTCTTAAAACTGCAGGCTTGCAAATGCAGAGAAAATGTAAATGATTATGTCTACATTCTTCCCTATGCGCCCAGAGCCTGAGCGCAACACACGCTTCTGCAGATTATATTCTTAAAATTGACAGGTTCTGAATGTCAGGTGTAAATCACCAGAAGTATCTGCTTGTGCAAAATCATCAAAAAGATATTTTCTGGTTTCTGCATAATTCACTTGTACCACTCCTTTCCAGGCAGCGTATTTCAGTTAAATTAGTTTCACCAAATAATTTCATCCAAGTCTGATGAAGATAATAATCCAGTCCAAAGAAAATAAAATACTACATATAACTGACAGAGTGCTCACTAGTCCTAAAAATCCCTTTATTTCAACAAGATCCTGAAGGAGATTTATAATGCTAGATATTAAGGTTCAGTCTCTAATGTAGAAACAAAAGCTACTATCATGAAGACAGTATCTGCAGCCAGCTCAGTGGTTAGTAATACTGAATGATAAATAAATATTTAAAAATTCAGGAGTCACTTCAGACATTGCCAGTTTTAATGAATAGGTGCTGTCAGGTCACACATTCTCAACATGTGTGCTCAGTATTCATGAGCAGATTCACATGTTGAATTCAATCTTCTATCACTCAGTTAGAGGCCAACGTAGATTTCACAGAATCACAGAATGGCCCGGGTTGGAAGGGACCTCAAGGATCAGGAATCTCCAACCCCCTGCCACAGGCAGGGCCACATCGCTTCTTGGCTTTTGGCTAAGATCAAATGTAGTGTAGTGCAGATTTCTCACATGTTCCCTCAGTAAAACAAATATTGCTATTAAACATTGCCTACAGCTACAAAGTAAAACCAAGGATCAGTCACACATCTCAAGAAGAGCGTTGTTCCTTGACAGCATCTGTGAACAGTTTGGATTTTAAATGTCCCACGTGGTTAGGTCAATACAACTACTAAGTCCTACAATGGGAAAAACTACCCAGTTTACCCTAAAATAGAACTCTTTAGAAGACGGCTGCTTCTACCAGCTGCTACATCCAAACTATGGATCCAGGAGGAGAGTCTCAAAATTCCAGGCACCTGTCCCAGCTCTCACCCAGAACCACAGCCCAAACAAACACCAGGATTCACTTTCCACCACCTTAGCTCCTGAATTCCACAGGGAAGAGTTGTGTTCAAGCACACAACAAAGGAAAAGGAGCAGGTAACAGCTATGGCTCAGGGGAGGACCACACAGTGCACCAGAAAAAACAGCAGAACTGCTGACAGCAGATCTAGATAAGGAAATGCCCTGCCTTTCAGTGCATGGACAACTCCAAAAAGGGTAAGCCACATATTTGGTTCAAAATTGGCTCTTTGTTTTTTTTTTACTTCAGTATTCAAGCTTCTCAACAGAAGCAGAGTTTTTAAAAACACATTTCACATCTCATAAACATTTCTTACTGAAAGAGAACTACCTGTCATCTCCAAAAGAGGTCATCTCACATATAAGCTCTACTAAATTGACGATTACATCACATCACTGACAAAGGCCGTGCATTCTTTCTGGCTGGAGCAGTACTCTTTAAGACTCTGCATTTGACTGTAATCGCACACAACCACAGCTACCTGAAAATATTGATTTTAAAGTATTATTTCATCTACATATACAGTGGAACCTTCAAGAACACAGCCATCTGTATTTCAGTTGAGGTTCAAAATAAATAAATTTTAAAAAGCTTCAAATGGATATGCTTGATTTGCAGTTATCTTCCACTTTCAGCTAAGTATACAGGGAAGCAAGCTGTTCAAGTGCTGACTGTCTGACAAAGTGGGCAGGATGTACTTTCAGCCATCACTATTTAAACCTTCAAGAAAGGTAGTGAGGATGGGAGTGCACACAGGAGATCAGAAGTGGATTTTAGAAGAGAAAGCGTGAGCAGTTGCTGTTACTGCTGGTGTTACTAGCAGTGACATTTAAATGTCAGTATAGCTGCTGTCCTGTCAGAAAAGATCAGAGTGACTGTATAGAAAAAAAGTCCGTACACTGACCTCAGCTTCTCACAGAATTGCACAGAACCTCTTTGTGCCAGTGCTTAAGTCTACAAAACACCTTGTAGCACACCTAGGGAATACCTGCAGGACAGCACTGTTAATACATTCTGGCTACATGAAACCAAGCACGTAAGCACATGCAGAACAACAACAGACAGGAATTTACAAGGGCTAGGAAACACTGAGACTGAGAATTCTGTCACTGCCCTTCAGTTGAAAAGAAAACAAAAAAACTATATAGGAATCAGTGTCAAGAAAGAGCAGAGAAAAATGAATCTCTATCACATTCTCAGAAAGACAAGTAAAGCACTCTAATTACATTTCTTTCCCTTTAAATGGAGATTTAATAAAAAGCAAATTTGTGCTGCAAGCTAGTGTGGTGAAGTTAAAAAACCCTCTGAAATGCACTACAATACTACAAACAACAGTCTACAGAGAGGCCAGATCATTTTTAAGACTGTTAGGTAAGAATTACGTGGCTCAATACAGAACAATTCCAAATCACCTAATCACTCATTTAATAACTCATTAGCTAACACAAGCCTTTAAAACAAACAGTGCAGGCTGTGGATACTGATCGAAGAAGTTCATCTGGCCACTAGACGTCCCTACTCCGCCTCAGAAACGCAGCTGTGAATGTTCACTTTTCTCACTGCAAATAATGGAGCTATAAAAAGCAAGACATAAGGAAGTGGCACTTTCTCCAGATATAGCACATTCATAATATCTAATTCATGACTGAAATAAGTGTCATAATGCTCTCCAGATGCAATAGTCAACTCAGATTGCAAATGCCTGCTTTTTTATTACCCGAACTGCAGATTCCCAAATATGATTTGGTATGGAGTAATTCTATTTTAAGTTGATAGCACCCCAGAAGGAGACTCATTGTCCAAGAATACATCACTCTACAGTAACAGTGGATGCTAACTTGAGTCTTGTTATTTCTTTGGTTGAGATACTTTACAGACACAGACACCCCATGTTTTAAAAGATTTGCCTCAATGCCTTGATTTGTTTCTGGTGGTTAAAGGCAACTGAGTGCTGGATGACTGGAAAAAAAAAAAGCAGATTAATTAGTGCCCTCCCCCATGCACACACACACCAAGATTTGTGTTCGGTATATAACAAAAATAAACCTCCCACCAGAGATCTTGGAAATCTTGAACTTTTATTCCCTCCAGGAGGATTTAATACTTTCCAATGAGCGGCTGTTCATGTGCTTCTCCTTCTTGTTCCTATTCATAGGATCAGATCCTGACTAGCATGCACAACCTCAAAAGAAAAGAAAGACTGAATACAAAGTGTTTAAAAAAATATCCTGTTAAAAGTGTAAGCTAACTAGGGGTTGACACTGCATCCTATCATGTAAATAGCTGTCTTCAAGAGCCTTACCTTATAGGCCACACTGTTCGAAGAGTCCACAATGATAAAAAGTGGCTTTCTTGTGAAAGGGTAGAGATCACCAGGGTGAAGGCTGAAAAGAGAAAGATGCTTCACAGAGCACTAGAATTGTTACGAAGCTGTGACAGGGCACAGATTTCTAAGACACAGCTGCTCATGTCCAGACAAAAAGTCAGCAGATCCCTCTTGCCTCAATCTTCAGATTCAGCCTGAGATAGTAACTGCAAAACTAATCGGATATTCTCTGTAACATGGATTACAGGACTTGTTCTTTCCTAACAAGAGATGTAGAGATGTTTGTCTTCTTGAAAACTAATCATCCATTAACTTGAAACTTTCCAGTAATAAAGACTTTACCTTAAGTCACAGTAATACTTCCCATGCTTAAATTGTCATTTAGAATTACACAGTCATATACAATTGCTGAAGTTCAAGCCAATCTACATTTATGATGTCCTGCAATGAACTGAACGTGTTTGCAATTGTCACACTCATAAAACTTACCAATGCATCTCCTTGTAAGATTGGTTTCGCTTGTGGATAGCATCTCCATTTATAACATCCCGGTTACTATTTGTCAGAACACCACCAAAATCATATGGACCTACAGAGGGCAAAAAGAAATTTGAAATTAACAGTGGTAACTAAGCTCTGTTATGAACTCAATGAATATAGGAAAAGGAGAAAGCAACCAAAAATTCGAGAAACAAGATGAATCTGAACTACTATAGTATATAGTTATACTATATAGTTACATAGTAGGGAGAGAATGGAGGAAGGTGGAGACTTTACTGGCTACATTCTCAATGTAACTCACATTCGGTAGTTTGGTCATCTATCAAAATAGAAGAAAAATGCAACATTATATTTTCTAATTTATTCATTCACTATTTATCCATAAATATAATACAAAAAATCCAGATACCAGCTCTCATTACACTAGATAGCAAAAGATTAAAACTCATAACTTATTTCTTACAGAACAATCAATGCCTTTGATAAATGTCTGCAAAAGTTAGTATGTTCTATAACCAGAATCTTACTAAAAACTAATGCTAAACCCCTTTAGCCTCTCAGAATTGATATAACATCTGCAATAAGGGCACTGAGAAGAGGAGAAGAAAAAGTTCAAAGAATGAATGTACTTTCAGTACTCCTAGAGAGGACAAAACATTTTAAACAGGTCTCCAATCTGCAGCAAAGATTTATTTTTAATACTTCAAATACAGAATTCACAGTTCTTAGGAGCACATGTCCAGGCTATGTGCATTTAAGTAACCTAAAGAAAAGTTCTGCTAAGCTCATACAACTGAGCTACCTGCCTATCTGTTTGAGAGCAAAAATGAAAGGAATGGCTGAAAAATATCAATGCCTACATAAAAAAAATCAATGCGCTTAGGATACCAGGAAATATTTCTGCCATTGATATGAGTATGAAGCATCACTAACTTTAGATCAGGACAGTATTAGGGTTTCCTAACACTGCTATACAGTTGCAGAGTTGGTCGACTCACATTTGGCCAACTGCAACCTTTTCAGGATTGGCTACATAGGACACTTTTCCATTTCAAAGGAAACTCTGGGGCTACAAAATTAGGAGCAGAACATACATTAATTTAGCACTGTTAGAAATGTCTCACATATGACCTGTCAAAAACAAACTGCCTACAGGCAACTGACAGTGCAACTTGCAGCTGCTCTCTCTTTTAATAAGGTAAAACTTTTTGGGGGGGGTCCATGCAGACTACATCACCTTATTAAAAGAATGCAGTTGTAATGATATTCATTTCATAAAAATTGAAGTCTGACTACACAGCTCTTCAGAAAACAGAGGTCTAATGGCTCAATGGTAAGGTATTTAACTGAAATAATACATGCAGTGAAGTGAACATAACACAAGCTGAATAGAACAGTTCAGCTAGAACCCACCAACAAGTCATAGCAAAAAGTAAAATGTTAAAAGCATTAAAAAAAAAAAAAAAAATCACTGCCACAATCAAAATTTGACAGGGATTTTTTTTTTAACCTTTAACATTTTGAGAGCTCTATAAATCATGCATGGGAACGGACAAGGCATGCATCTCATAAAGGAATGCAAGTCTCAATCAGATGAGGTGTGTACAATATTTAGGATGTTAAAAACACTTTTTTCCTTAAATTATAAAAATATAAGTGGATTTTTTGACTGTGTTTGCTTCAGCCAACTCATTTTCAGCTTTTACATTGCAGCTGCATCCAAATATTTTGCTAAATTTCAAAGAACAGGAGGATGAGGTGAGGGGAATAGTCAAAAAATCATGAGAAAGGCTTGAATTGTCACATTAACAAGTATGCAAATAGAACAGTCCGTGCAGACACTTCAGCCCTTTTAGCACCCATCTCCTGACTGTACATTCTCATATTTCTAGAGATTTGAAAGAATCACAAAGTGCCAGTTAGCATATTTTATAAAGTTTGCACAGATGCATCAACTGAGCCATGTAGTCTTCAAAATTGGTAAAGCTTTTGATACTTCAGATGCATCAAAAACTGGCTATGTCCTTTAAAAAGGTCCCAGGTTAATGCACACTAATTAAAACAGAATTGTCTACTGCTTGTGCAAAGAAAAGACTTATCTAAGTAAACAGTAGAATAAAATTAACTTGTCTTTTACAAGGAGCTTTGTGACATCTTTCTTGATCACTTGTCCTGGAACACAAAGAGAATTCAAGCCCTGTTCATGACAGGGAGCATTCCTTTATTGTACCTTCACTATCCGAACGACCTGATGGGAACACGCCCGTGGCAGACAAGTAAATCAGCAGCACACTGTTTGCAGGCAGCTCCTGAAATTCAAATAGAGAGAAGAGTGGCAAGGGAAGAAATGCACAATACCGTTATATTAATAAAAACATTATCATTGAAGAATGTGCTACTCCTACTTCCAGCTTTCCTTCATGCTATTCTTCGTAGGAGCATATACCACTCCCCTCTATGTACGCCCCTTTAAGCAGGTGAGCATACAGACAAAAATGTGAACCAATGATATATCGATACTGCTGTGTTTGTTTGTTTCCATGCAGACCCTTAGGCTGACCTTAGAAGTTCAAACAGCAGTTTAAAAACAGCAGTTTTAAAAATAATAAGATTTGCTTCCACATAGAATCTGTTACTAACAACCCAGACCAGGCTTTCAAGATGCATGTGAGCTAACTCCCAAACAATTCACTTTCTGACAGGATTTTTTTTTTTTAATTTCCAAATACCCCAGTGTGCATAACCCCTGTCTCTCCACCCCCCCCCCCGACCCTTCAGAATTCCCAGCTGAACAACAAAAGCAAAACACATCCAGGCTCCCACACAGACTTGTAAAATCTTTTCATCCCATCTAAGGACAGCCCACATGACAAAGCAGAAGCTTTTAAATTCTGCAGAAGGCTGAGCATGTGGGCGACCAAAATTCACTGATTTCACAAACCTTAAATGATGCTGCTAAAAACGTGTACAGCTGGCTAAAAGTTGGTTTATAAAGTAGGTATTTATGAGGGTTTTCCCGCCTGGCTGGTTTCTCTGTTGACTCCTATTGAAAAACAAATAAATTTAAAAAAACAACTCTATATTTACAAAGCAGCTTCATTACCCTCTGAATTTGTGCTTATTACAATGTTTATTTTCAACATATTTCCCAAAGAAATGGCTTGCCTATGCAGCATTTCCTATAAAGTATGATGTAAAGTATTAGCAGCAGAACTTTACATTATCCCTCACTCTGTTATCTACAACATCCTCTCTAAAGCACAATCCACAATAACAATGTAAAAAAAGTTTCTAAATTAAAAAAATAAAATCTAGCTATTTCTTTTTATCTACAAATAAAGTTAGGGGTTTTTTTGCTTTCACAGAAGGGGTTATTTAAATTTCATATGAATTAGCAAGATGATGAACTTGTGGCTCCATGACTGCCAGAGTGAAAGCAAAGCAATGGGCGAGTGTACGTGGACAAGGACAGACACTCCTTCAGAAGCTACACCACTGTAAACCACTTGTGAAATGATGCCCAACTGTTCATTTCTAGTAATTTACCCACTATTGACGTTTTTCCCCCAAGAAAACAAAAACAAAGGACACATTACTTGAGTCAAACTCCACAGATTTGAGCTACCCACCATCAGCCTTCCTATCTGGCTCTGCACAGTGATAATACAGACAGATAGTAATACTGTTTTCTTTTCTTCTTCCCCTCCCCCTCCTCCAAGCTGTTAAGATTTGTTGCTAAGTTTGTCACTGAAACAAAACTCACCTGCATTCCAGGTTTGTTCATCTGCGAAGCTAAATTCATTGGTTCCCTTTCAAGTGCTTGTAGCATTCGGAACATATCAATTGTCAATTCACTGAACTTCACCTGCCAAAAGAGTAAAATGGTTTACTCTGTCAGATACAAATAAATAGTCTGTTTTTCTTTGGAATTATCCAAGAGTCTCAACTACATCCCACGCGCCACTTTCTGTCAATATAATCTCTGAATCTCAAAAGTCCTGTGAATGACTTCGAGGAGCTCATACAGGACAAAGTCTATTTACTACAGCTCAGTCAGGCCAGTTTACTGCATTCACAAATTAGACTTTTCTGACTTGTTTACAAATCATGTGATGGAATACCCTATATACTCTGTATTTAGACACTATTTGGAAGATACACAAACTCTAGTTTACATTCAGCTCTGCTGTTTACTAGAAAAATAGTTCAGAGATAATGAAATCTGCACAGTTTAACTACCATCATCACCTAAAAAACAAGACTTTGAAAATCTTGTGAAAGCCCCTTCCTGTTGCAACTGCAGCTGGAACAAAACGTTCAATTGAGTCCCTTCAACCATGAACACTGCTAAGAACAATCTCTTATATGAAAAATCAATTGTATCTAGCCTCTATCTAAATATTCTGCTACATGATTAAGAGATATCACTGAGAGAGAGAGAATTTGAGTTGTAACAATACAAGTTTAAGACTTCATGATTACTTTTACCTGGTTATTGCAGTTCCCAATAATCAGTGCATCTGCAAGAGCAAGCTGTCCCACAATCATTCCCTGCTCCAGCAATGGAGCTCCGGTTTCAGAAAGCCTGTTGGAGGTGATTACAATGGTGTTGTCATCATTTAAAACCATTACAGGATCTGCCTAAAAAGGTAACCAGAATAAATTAGGAATTCAGCAGAACACACAGGTTTGCATTTAGCGTAGAGAAGACAGTGTCTTCTCACTCACAAACTTTTCAAAAATAAGGCAGATTTTAAAAATTAATTTGCCATGTTTGTATGAAAGCCACAAAGGAAAGGCACTCCAACAATCAAAGTACACTTTGAAACACAAGAAAAACCATGAGCAAATAGGAATGGCTTCCACAGCAGCAGAAATAAAAAGGTGATCAAGCATGTCTCAGCTTCACGATTCTGTCTTCACTACACTGTATGACCAAGTCTGACTCTTTAGGCACTTGAACAGCTGTCACTGCTACACTACTGTAAACATATTTCAATGATTTAATTGGGCAACAACATAGTCCTTCCACATGGCACAACTGCTAGCACAAAGGTGGTGACACAGGAACACTTTGGTGAAGAAGTCAGAAAAATTTACCTTAAACTGACAGTTAGAAAGAAATGGTATTCTCACCTCAATAAAAGCTGCCACTTCCTGAAGAACCAGGTTCCACTCCACCTGATCTTCAGTATTAAAACGATGAGTGTAATCTTCAATCTCATCTGAAAGCTCCTAATTTAAAAAGTTCAAATACTCGGTTACTTCCTAAACTGAAAGCTTAACTGTCACTAACTTAACAATGTGGTTAGCCATGCTGGCCTTTAAGAATGGAGAAAAAGTCACTTTACTCAAGAACAGATGCAGCACACTTATGACTAACATGCCAAACAAAACATGCTCCTTCAGGAGACAAAATGCCAATGTTCCAGTGGGTTTCGGCAATGCAAAGTATCTTTTCAGCAGGTCTCAGTGTCTGGAATATCTGAAGTGTAATTATCACATTCACATACAGCTGTGTTGCTAGTTTTTTCCCTTAGCTTATGGATAACAAGGATTCAGATTTAATCTCACAAACAACGTTAAATATATTATGAAAGTGAACTGTGTGGCTTTTTTTAATTGCTGCTACTAATTCAAGTGAGTTTAGACAAAAAGACAGTAATGCAACTACACAAAACTGTCAAAACCAGAAGCTGCTTGCAGCAAGGTTGTTAGAGGGATTTGGGAAGCATATACTGTTAGGAGAAGCACACTGTTCCTTTGGGGCAGCTAAAGGGTAGCTCTCAATCTCAGCTGTAACTACTGGAATATTTTACTTTGTGTTCAAATAATACTATCAAATTATTCAAACATCAAGTGTTTGATCAAATGTCTGATTCACAGAAGATATTCATAGTGTTGGATGTCAGATACATTATATAAAGACCAGCACTGATCAGTACAAAGACTTGAGTTTACAATTATTCAATATTTTACTCCCATGGCAATGGCATATGCAGATCCAGCCTCCCTAATTTCATGGTAATATTTATATCCTTTAGCAAGGCTTCATTCTGATGGGTCTTTAGGAGGTGCAAAATATATTCAGGATCTGTCTTAGACATGGGACAGAGTGATGGCAGTTTGGAAGGGAAGAGAAATAAGCTCAACATCAAACTTGGAGACATGGGCTTTCACAGCAATGAAGTGTCATGAAGACTTCCTAGGGGAGACTTCATCTATGTCTTAAATCAACTACAGGAATGAAGAGGTGTTCAGAGTTACTGAACAATTCCAACACTTTCAGATCAATAACGTGGATCTTACAGTTTATTTTCAGCTAACTACATCTTTTTGAACCAAACATTCATGTCATACTGATACCTTTTCACAGCTCTACCCATATTACCATTTCCTTCTGTGGCATCCAAATGCACAATCAGAAGAAATTAAAAAGGAAAAGAAAAGAAAAGCTACACAGCAGCAGTATCAAATCATAGATCTAATTAGTGATATTTCAGGTTAAATAGATTATGTTACTGAGTTCTTAATTAGGAGAAAAGCCCTGAAAAACCAGCAACCTCCCACTCTTAGCACCTTTACCCTCATTTTAACATACCTTTACAAGGTCCTTTACAACATCCATTTTGTTGAGCAAGAGACAAACCACTATAAACCTTGCATAATAACGCAGCTTCTTAACCACTAATTCAGGCCTAAACACAACAACAAAAATACCATAGAGAAATTTGAGATTAGAATACAACACAGGTAGGCAAAGCATACAACACAGCATGCTAGGTCCCAGCACAAACACTGAGCAGGATGTCAGAAATTTGGGACTAATAACTTTATAGCTAGGGCCACATGAGAATGTTCCTCCAGTCTTCCTGTAAAGCTCTTATTTATACTGAGGTATTTAATCATGGCAAAAGGGTTGAAAGAAACTTCCTCCAACAACACTGACTTCATCTCAGTTATGATCCTATGTTCCAAATTACTTGCTACTCACATAAACCGTTCTGGTCTTTGGAAAGAAAAAAAGAAGGACATCCATTCAGATATACCTGTCTTCCTTGTTAACCTGGGAGTAGTATGACCTCTGCCTGATTGCGGAATAGAAGGAGAAAGCTTCATTGAGATAGCTGGTTTCAGAAGTGCGCAAGCTGTAGAGGAAGAATCAGATTAGCTCAGTGCTTCAGATGCAAGCCCATGCCAAACCCTCCCTTCCTGCCCCCTTAACCATTTTGTGCATCAATGGCAAAACTCTCTCCTGAAGTAACTTTTTATGTAAGCCAGACTCTCATTCTTATTGTATGCTGGGAAGCTGGGAAGACAGATTTCAGAGCTTGGATTCACTTTCTGATACCAATAAAATCTGCCCATCTTGTGCCCATAGGAACAGGTGACAAGTTAATTTGAGAGTTTAAAGATACATTAAGCTCCCAACCTTGTACATCACACTTTTGTGCAAGAGCCACATGCAGCACACGTGGAAGACTTAGAGACACTTTGGAGGTGGGAGGTAAATCCTTAGGCAGTATTGATGTGACTCTAGGAATATCATAGGCTCAAAGGTGCCTTTCTCTGCAGCACCCCCATGCAGCCCCAAGTGCCTTCTCATTCAGAGCTCATGACTCAACTGACATCCATTTCTACCTCAGCATGCCCCTGACTGAGTATGCAGATAATAATGAGCATGGAACTGCCACTAACACTGCATTTCCCTACTGAATCCTTTTCTGTGCTTACTTACTAATAATGGTAATAGAGCTGCCCAATCTTGGAAGCAATTTCCCCAATTTGCCACCGCTTCAACCCATACCGATTGTCCAATACTTGTCTATTTCGCAAGAGAGAAAAGAAAGATTAAAAGGCATTCCAGAATTTCTCAGATCATCACACCAGACAAGACAAAGAGCCATTGTAGGGCCAAATTCAGCTTTTGTTACTGGTGTGGCATTCCCAAAAGCAGTTCCTCACAGAGCCAATAGCATTGCATATACACACCAGGAACATGACCATTTACGTTGCAAAAAAACTTGTGAGAGCTAGACATAAGTATGTTGCATGAAATACACAAAACAAAAAAGTCACCAAAATCCCAGAACACTCAACTACACAGCCAACACGAGGTGTGAAAGATCAGAGCCCACACTGCAGCAAGACACTTCACACCACTTCAGATAGGTTCTGCACTGCAGAAGCCATCATCCCAGCTTTTCCTTGGCAATATATTAAAGCAACATGCATTCAAGTAGAGCAAAAGGTTCTGTTCTACAAAAAATAAAAGTTGCACTGAAAACTCTGTAACATTTTAATTCATTAGACTGTGAGCACTACAGGAAGTGACTATTCTCTCCCTTCATGCTTGAATAACACAATGAAATTTCAATCTTAATGGGGGCCCCTAGGCGTACCGTAATGCCAGAGATTAAAGTTGCCTTTTAATTCATAGAACAGGGCTGCCTACAACGTTCCCTTACCGATGCTGCTGTTGAAACTTCCAGAGTTTGGTGTAAACATCAAATGTTCGCCCAAAATAGGATTGCCACTGCTTCTGCCCATACTGAGGTAAATCCCTGCAGCAAGAGAAGTAATTTCATTGTTTTTATGTACAGAATGCTAAACTGGACCCATAAAATATGATCATTAAAAAAAAAAACAGTAAAAAATACGTACCTGGGAGCAAGCACAATAATCTAATGGCAATTAGTTCCTGTGGACTAATTTAGATTGATGATATTTCTTTCTACTCACTCAGGAAATCATCTTTTTTAAATGAAATGGCTGCTCACTGTTGTTTCAGAAACAGCCCTATAAAAACATGTGTAAATCAGCTGTCCAAGCATCATCAGGCCAAGCAAGCAATGTAGATGCTCACAGCCAACATTCACTGCATCAGGTTACACCATCAGAGTAGTATTTGTCACCCCTTAACCCAGAGCTAGCAATGAGGTGGAACCTGAGACTTTCTGTCTTTTTCATTATTGATTTCCAGCACCATAAAGCAAGTTAGTCAAGCCACTTCCTTTCTCCTTTCATAAAGTCATTTAACTTCCATGCTGTGATATATTTTCCTCCACCTTCACCCTACAGGTGTGATGCAGTCCTAAGAATTTTAGCTTTAGAAGTACATACTCTCAATCCTAGCAGAAGGCCTTCATCTGAGAGTTGCTTGAGCCTTGGAACAAACACAACCAAGAAGACCAAAGACTGTCAGTCTCACTGAATTCATGATGCTTACAAATCTGTACTGAAGTTGACTCAAAAGAAGCATACAACCAGACCTGGAACTGGAATAACATTTTCAATGTGGCAAAGTATGTAATTTAATTCAAGAATTACTCATTCGGGGAATGCTCTCTCAAATCACTGTGCTGGTTAGCACACCACTCAGCACCTCACTCTTCTTGCAGCAGACCTGCCTGCAAAGGCTGCACCTCCAAGCCTGGGCTATCCAAGCTGCAGCAAAACACTACATTTTGAAAATCATGCCATGACATCTAGAGGAGTAAAATAGGCAAAACACTACACCACAATTTCCAGAGCAACGTGCTGGTGTCTTTCTGCTAACTGGAATTGCTTTAACAGCATCCCAGGTAGAAAAGGAAATTAACGTTCCTTTGTATATCAGCCAATCGTACTTGCCACTCTTCCTCCCTCAAATACTGAGAAATAGGTATGTGCACAAACTATGAGATAAACAGCTGTTTGTGGATGATCGTTATGCATATACCCCTCATCAGTAAGCTAAAATGCTCTCTGCATCTCACCTGGCATCTTCTATTGCATGACAGTCACCTCTCAGTTCTGCCCCTCCCCCTGCACAAACCTCATTCAACTCACTGCACTGCATTGGGTTGGAATACAAGAAAATAGTGGCATTCTAAAAAGCCTCTGTTATGCAGCACGCACGTGTTTGGCCATTGTTGTCCATGTCACTGCGTGGTGTCCACATGTATATTCCTCAAGCTGCACGCTCGCCTAATTGCAGTTGGCATAGCTGCACAGTGCCATGCGATCCCTGCGCTCCCCAGGGAACAGGGAAGATCTCCATGGAAACAGACAGTCGCACTTGTTCTTTTGATAGTACTCTGACACGGCTGTAATAAAACTTCATTTATGACAATACATTACCATGGCTCCCTCAGAGATTTTTGCAGACAGGCCCTGCCATTGCCACCACCCATTTTCATTCCCATTTGCCGTTTTGTGTTCTCATGTTGCTCCCACGTACCACAAAACCTTGCCGTGAGAAAGCAGCCAGCAGAAGTGAGCGAAGACATTTAGTGCACAGTTTCTTTAATCAGACCAGAGAATCTGCCTTACTGGGTGAGAACAGTAGTCCAAGGGAATTTCAAAAACTCAGCTGATTGCAGAGCGGATTATTAATAATTCTCCCACTGAAGTAGACAGAGAATATATGACCCAGAAATAATTACACACCCAGCTTGAGAGCAAAAGACTTACATTACAGCAAGAGATTCTGCCACTTCCAGATCTAGAGGAAGTTAGTAGACTAACAGAGAGAGGCTACTTCAGGAGCCTAAGCAGTACTGGGATAACAGGGTTTCAGCATAGCTTTTGCCTTCCCCTGACCCACAAGGACAGTAGGCACACCAGGAACGCAGTAACCAGCCTCACCTGCCAACACTGTGTGAAGTCAGGTCCCTCCCAGCACAGGACAGGGCTACAGCCTGCTGCAGTACCTGTAGCTAACAGGGCCATGTCATTTCTAAGTCAGCAGCATCTCTTAAAACTAAGGTTCAATTTGCATCTTACTAGAAGTCTGAGAAATTAACAGTTAAACTACCGGTTCTCTCCATGAAAGGAGAGCAGTCACAATTCTCGCAGCCAGCACTATGAGTAACGAGACCCTAACACAGGAAGGTACAATATATGTGGAACATCCTCTTATTTAACTGTTAAGCTTCCATGTGACACTGAAAAATCTTAAGCACAGAAAGCATCTTAAGCAAGAAAATCATAACTGATGACAGTACGCCATAAGAAGCTGCTTCCTAACACGCTTCCTCTCCTCAGTATTTTTCCAAGAGAAAAACAAGTGGGAGTGGGAAGAGGAGGGAAAAGAGAAACTGGCACATACTTCATTGACATTTGCTCAGAACTTACAGCTCAGGGTGTTCAAAAACAAGTACAGATACTAGAAAGACTCTATCAACTCTATTCTAAGTTACTCTGGTATGTACAACCACAAAAGGATGGCAGTGTGAGCATCAAGTACACTTTAGAGCAGTACCCTTGGCAGATCATCATATGTTTTCCTCAAATGCTGTATTTGGCATCTGTAGTGGGAAGAGAGGAAGGAAATGCTACTGAAACAAAGACGTGGCAGGCTGAGCCCCTGCATTTTTGGCAGCAGCAATAGCTAAGCAGCTGCCAACACAGCTATAGGCTCAGTTCCCTGTAGCTGAAGTGCCCAGAGGAGATTTCAGGAACTCACTGCTCTCCTGTCCCTCCCTCATCATCTTATTTTTTCCCCCCCATGAAACATATCCTATATTATGATTCTATGTTATTAGAGACAAGAGAATGCCAAAAATACAGCAGTAAGGCCATAATCATCTTCCAAACTGAAGGAGGCAGGCAGATATCAATCTATTTATTATGCAAGCAAAAAGCAAGCAACTGGGCCAACAGTCAGGATCTTGCCAAGTCCCTTCCAGGTAGAACTAACCAGAAGAGAACAAGCACTAACAGAGGAGATGCCTGAAAAACTATAATGTCACTTTACCTCATTTTTATGGACACAAGAATCTATGACCTTGTAGGTAAAACTTGTAGGTGGTTAAGTTCAGTGCAAGAAAGAACTACATTAATTGCATTAAGTTACAGCAAGGACAGAGGCACGTTCTCCTTTTCACTCAGCAGAGCTGGTTGTTGAGGCCCATCTCTATTTTTTATTGCCCAAATTCCACCCAAAGGTATTTTCCATCTTCTTTTCATCTAGCTGGATAAGGTTGCATTTTGTCAAAATATCATGGATGCACATGGAAACTATCTCTCACCTGAAAATCCGATAGAAGCACTGCTTTCTTCCAAAAATGAAAGCCTGAATGACTGAAGGTATTCTGCCATCTCTGTGATCTAAGCTTGAGCATCACACATCCAGACAAAAACAGTATTAATTTGTACTCTTCGGTGACTCAGGTCAAAATTTCAAGCCAGCTGCATCAGAAAGTCAATGCAAGACACTGGAAACCGTGGCCTCAAGATATCAGTCATCTTGCACTACAGCCTGTTTCATACAGTGCTGAATGCAATCACCAGGAACTCCTCGCCTCTACTGCACGCTCATCTTCCAGATTTTGGACCACAAACTGTTCTGGATTTCGTAATCAACTTTTAAAGCACATGAAAAACATTGTCAATCTTTTGTGGGGAGAGGGGCACATCTTTGCTAACCATCTGTGTTTGAATAACAGTAAGCTGTATGGGCCCAAACACCCAGTATTACTCAGAGACCAGTAAGAGGTTGAACTGCCAACAAGATATGAGCTAAAAAGCATGTTGCTTAAGAGACTCTACAGCAAAACTCAGAAATAAAACAGCTCTTGAAAACATAATCTTTAACTCAGCATACATTGAAACAGGAAACCTATATCACTGTTTCTAATTGGAACTATTTTCCTTCAACTCCTCTTTCTCTTATTCCCTTTCTTATCGGTGCTGACAAAACAGATAGACTTACCTTAAAAATGCTTTGTTACCTTTCTCCACAGTCTATATTAAACACCTGTTTCACCAGACACGGACAATATAGACTAAAATTTGGACGCTGCTGTTTATCACTTTCTAAATTGCCTCCAAAAAAATATTCCCGGACACTTTCCCTCCCACCTAAGCCAGTCCTCCTCATCCTGGCACAGAGACAGGGGTTTCTGTGGTGATGCCTTTTGCAGTTGCATGCAGTTTATGCTGTACAGTGACATCTGGTCCTCAATCAGGTGTTTCAATCACAATGTTTCAAATATTAATTCTACCAATTTCATGGAATTGACAACTTCTAGCTTACTGCTAACTGACACAACTGAGACATTTAACTCACATTTGTCACATCATCTTCCCTACCATCTCAGGAGAAATGCATGAATCTCTACTCCTACACACATTCTCATGTATCTGGTCAAAAACTACCCATACAGAAGCACGAACTGCTCTCTCCTAAACAAACTTCCTGGTTTTGAGTTTAAAATGCTAGTTATATATTCAGCATCAGTTGCATGCTCAAACACACATTCCAATGCTTTTCTGAAGCAATTCTGATAAACATGCACTAACCTTAGGCCATTGAATAACTGTTTAGATTTATCCAGCAAGTAGCAAAAATCCGTAACTGTTTTCCTCTCTGCTTGGGGAATATCATCTTCAGCTCCTCCTGATGACATGATTTGTTTTAGGGCAAACTCAGTCCTATGAAGAAGAAAACAAAATATTACTCAGTAATTGAGGGCTACTGTGAATTCATCCAGATTGCATGCATGTTCCACAGGGATAGTGACAACAAGCATGCAATTCCCCCACAGGTTACTCTTCTTAAGAGTCTTTAAAACTAAAGCTGAGAACCAAAGCATGGGACTAATTACTGCACAATGCAATAGATAACAAAGCAAAATTAAAAATGGCACAAGAGTCATAAAATAAAGTAACTGAGGACTGTACTCACAAACACAAAACTGCCAATAAAAGGATATTAACATAAACAACACTTCGTACATAGAGAAATCTTCTCTAAATTTGCCTTTCTGCAGAGGTGTTTATCCCCTGCTGTATCTAGGCACTAGTCCCACTTCTGTTTACATTTCATTTTCTTTCTGGGACTGTTGAAAACTGTAGTTCGCAAGCTGTTATCAATATAACATAGCAAAATTGGACAAAATGGCTTTTATAGTCTAACTTAAAACATACATACATAGAAGATTACCTTTCTAACAGCCAAAAGTAAGCTACATGCGTCTCAAAAGCAGCAACTGCTGCCAGGTCTTTGGCTCTTCTGTGCTTTCAAAGAATTTTGGTGCAAGTTGAAACACAACCCCACGTGGGCCAATGCAGAGCTTTTACCTCCAGCAACTTCTCCACCAGATTGGTAAGTACTTCTATTAAATAAGTTTCCAACTTGTGCAGAGGCTCTGTTTGGACCTTGTTAGCATAAATAATTACCCCAAAGTCCCAGTTCAAGCCAGAAAATAGCACAGCTAACTCCTTACAGTCAGTGGAAAGTACCCACAAGTATCTTCCATCAGTTGTAAAGATAAACCTTCTCAACAACTAGGCAGACTGAAGAGAGAGCTCAGAGCATTTCACTCCCACCAAAAGCAGAAGAAATTAGTGATTTCCATCTGCTCTGGGGACATTAGCAAGTATGTGCTGCCATGATTCTCTAGGTCAGACAAGATGCAGCACACATTCATTTGGTTTTAAACACCTACGTGATCGTGCAGCACAGCATTACTGCAAGAGCATGGGGTGCACTGCACAAAGTGCTTGCTGAAGAGTTCCAGAAAAATGTAGCAAGCATCTCTGCAGGTAACTGCAATACAGGTGCCAGACAACGGAGGAGTTCAAAACACACCAAAAAGATGTCAAAACCTGTTGGTACAAGTCCAGCAAAGCTGAATATGAATATTGTGAAGCACCAGCCTGCATCTGAAATCTCTAAGCATTTATGGTCACACAGCATGAAACACACAACAGTAAGAACTGAGGGAACCAACACACGAAACTGAGAGGAAAGGGGGGAGCTGACAAACAAAGGTCAGAAGTGGCCAGGAGGTGATTCAGGAGTTTCAGGAGGACAGACAGTACCCCAGGTCCCACGTGCTCGGCAGCAAGCTTGAGCTAAATCCTGCGGCGAGGCCCTTGGTTCTGCAGCACCCCACTGGGTAGGTCGGACACTCTAGAGTAACTTCAGATACATTTTTGAAAATTGAGGGATTTGCGTAAATTGCAAAGCACATTTCATACAGTCAATATACTATTCCCAAATTTAATTCAGTGGTACAGTCCATTTCACCTTATGCTGCTTTTAATTACATCTGCCACAACTGTTACCAATGCTGGCCAGCTGACTCTGTTGGCCCAGGAGCAGGCAAGTAAAACCAACTGCAAATCTCAGAGTCCATCAGACCCTCTGCAAATAAGGCTGTTTATGCAATCAATAAAAGATAAGCCAGAGAATTCACTGCCTGCTGCTTTAAAAGGTATCAGGAGACAGAAGAAAATTCTTGCAGAGAAACCATAAAAAGCTAGGAAAGAACAAAAACTGAGAATGACTGAATTAAGGAAAAAAAGAAAGACTTTTCAGATTGTAGGCAGTTAAGATGCACTTTGAAAGTCTGTGCCAAGCCCAGACAGTTCCTAATTATTTAGCACAATACTAATTTGTGGGAAGTCAGAAGAACTGGGGGGGGGGGGGAAACAAAAACAGAGATCAGTCAGCTGAATAGCTGAATATGAAACATTCTGGAGATTATTCAGCTTCATGATGTGACAATCAGTATGAGGATCTGAGCCTATTCATGAAGCAAAGGGCCAAAGTACCTTTTCTGTTCATTGGAAAAAATTATGAAAAGCAGGGAGAACAACCTGTCCTCTTGTCAGAGATTTCTGCTGCAGGGATCTAGGAAACAAACCTTTTTAAGGAAACAAAGGGATCTAGGAAACAAACATTTAAGCACATTCTGACACTGCAGACCCCTTGAAAAATTAGTATGCCATGGAGATATTCCACTACCACATTCATTTTATTCATCTGTACACAGGTTCAGGAAAGAAAAAAAATGCATGTTGCAAACAATCTACACATTGTATGAAAGCAGCCAGAAGCTTGAGTTTAGATTAAAAAGTGGTATTATAAAGCCAGGATTAGGAGTAAGAGGCAGAGAATGACACGAGGCACCATACAATCCCCAGCACTACCCCTAATGCCACTTAAAATGGTAGAAGAGCATCCATCTTTATCCAAGAGCTCATGTTCACTCCACCAGAGCATGCAGGGCAGAAGGGCTTGCAGGCACCCTCAGAGGATGCCAAGACTTCACAGAACAGTTGGAACTGAAAGGCAACAGGAAAGCTTGTATGGGAAATGGATGAAAGCTTCACAACACTAGCAAGTATTTACTATTTTTTTTTAAAGTTATTTCCACTTCCCTGTGGTTCGCTGTCTTTTGGATAAGGTTTTCCAGGCTCAGTTGGAAGGGAAAAAGACTGTTCAAGTCAAAGACAAACACTCCCAACCAGCCTGGTACTCAGACTCAAGCTTGCAAAGCAAGGCACGCTTTGTGAATGGTGAAAGAACACCCTAGCTTAAATAAATCATGCTAACAATGAAAGCCAAGCACAGATATGTTAAATAACTGTATTACATGCACATCTCCTTAGCCAGATGTATTACTCAGCCAGGATTACTTAGCCTGCATTTCAGCTGTCTGATAGAAGAAGGTGGTCACAGCTTATCCACTGAGACAAAACCTCATTCCACAGAAAAATTAGTGATCCCACAGCTGCATGGCATTCCGTACAGATGGAAGCTAGAAGCATATCACCTCTGTGCATGCAAAACAAGGGGTCAGAGCTACATAAGCAGAGCTGGCTGGACACGGTCCCTCAGCTCCTGACAGCCTTTGTACAGCCTCTCCTTTGCTAAGCCAGGACAGCCACATCATATGAACATCAGAGGATAAAAGGGTACCTATTAGTGCTTTATCTACTTCATTTAAATGGTCAATTGAAAAACACATTCCTCTCACTAGAGATCAACATTTGACTTCGAACTCTCATCTGCAAGAGGTGAGCAATCTCCTTATATGGACATTTGCTGCACATTTGCTCTGCCCTTTAACAAAGCAATGGAAGCACACAGTGCTGAAAGTAAGCGATACGGAGCACTGATACTTCACATATGTGACAAACAAACTGTCTTACTTCAAACCAGAACTTAGAATTTTAGACATTTGTACTTCAAGCCATCACTTCCATAAGCAACCTTACGATTTCCTAACCATAGGCATGAATAAATATTTCAGAAGCAACCCTTCCAGAAAGAATACATCACATGTGTAGCAGGTGATTTTGTGCACTTTGCAAATACTCTGGAGTTCCAGCCTCTCACAGATAAAGTTTAGATGTTAAACGTTCAATTCACACTATGCAGATAAACAAATTTATTATTATCTGGAGAAGTAATCAATGTGACCCAGTGAAGCTTCTCGGCTAAAATTAGAACAAGAATTCGTATTTTATTTCAAGCTCCAGTTGTTTTGATCACTGAGCTTTCAGCTCTGTCCCTTAAATAACCCACACACAACCTTCAGAACAGGACAGTGAATGCAAGCCTAACACAGCCCAGGACGGTTGATGCTGGGAAGGGGAATAGGAGGGAAAGGAAAATAATCTCTTCTTTGGCCAAAGCACTGCTCCTATATTTATCACCCACCTACCTGATGACAGCGAAGAGAAAACCAAGCAGTGAATGAGACTGGGTCGGGGTTGGCTGTGCTGAGCACCAGAACTCGTACTTCTGTGACAGATGTAACACAAGGCAGTACCTGTCACATGAACAATGTCTCCTAAAATCTTGCTGATCTGGAGTTTCATTGCTTGCATTAAATACAAATGGCAGGACAGCAACACCCATCAAAAGGAAAAAAAAATAATAGTAATTGCTGCCTCTGCATTATGCCAACATTCTTTCCCATGTCACCCTCTAAGGAAAATCAAATAAAAAGAAGCTGCTGTTCTATGATGGATGGGCCAGAATCACACTGCTGTCATTGGCCGGGAGAAATAAGAGTATTTTAGTTCACAGCACTTGCCTTTGTCAAGCAACACATCTACGTTTGCTGTTTGCCTCTCTTTCCTTCTAACAACAGGCATTCTCAGCTCCTGTGTTTTCTTCCAGAGCCAGAGTGCATGTTTTGGGAAAACCAACTGTGTGTTCCCATGTAATCTGCTCTGTGCAAGTCCTGACACGACACGACAGCAAGCACTACCAACTGGAGGTCCAATGCCTGCACACCCAGCAGGCGCAGCCCAGCCTCAGCCTCTGCCCACCCTCAGCAGGAGCCTCAGGAAGCCCAGCAGGGACACGGCCAATGCTCTGAATTCTGCTCCACTCTGAGGCAAACAAATCTGAGTATTGAGAATGCAGTGCCAACCTAATAATTTCAGTTTCAAATAAGTGCTTAATCTATTGGATCAGGTTTTGTTGTACGCTTTTTATTGCTTACAGCACACCTGTTTGTATCCAGAACCGCAGCTGTGGCAGCTGTTCCTCCAGAACAGCACAGAGCCATTCACCACAGAGACAGAAATCTGTCCCTGCTTGTCCTCCACATCCAGGGATCATCCAGGCCCCAGAAGCAGCAGCCTTCCGAAAGCCTCTCTGGGCAGGCTCACTTTTACACAAGGCACCACCACAGGGTGCGACTGACCTGCACCAATTACCTTCATGGCACAGAATTTTTGCTTCTCTCCTTTATGTTCTTGCCAGTGGCAATCTGTTCCACACTTGTGCTCTCCGTGCCCTCTGTGATCCCTCTTTCACTGCAGTTCACAACCTCTTGTGTATAAGATGTTGAAAGGGCAAAGGCTAAAAATGCCCTCCCAGCTGGGCCTCTGCCCTTGCACTGACTTGGCTTGTTTGTGACCAAAGATGAGCTCAAGCTCAAAGTCAGGCCGAGGCAGAGCTTCTGGGCTATCAGAGTACAGGGATCCCAAAGAATAGTTCAGAAGGAATGTGGAGGAGTATGCACCTATTTCTTAATTCAAAGAGTGACTCTGCAGTGGTGCCTGCATGCCACCTACATGGTGCTTAGCAGTCATTTGCTCTGTATGAAAGAGCAGAAGGAAAAAAAGAACATCAGGCGAGCTTGCTCTTGGCAGGGGTGGGAGGGAAAAGGAGAAAAACACCATCAGCTGCTGCGGGCTGAGCCGTGTGTATTTACATTTCACAAGCTAAACCATTTAGTGGTTTATTTACACACAATGTGCTTGGAGCAGCTAAAATGCCAGTTGTGTTTTATCTTGATTTTGTGGCAATGCACATAAGCCGTGAGAGCGCATGAACAGTCTGCAAATGAAACACAAACCTCACACATCTGGAAACATCCACAAACCAATACAACCCAGAGTTCAAAGGCAACCATCAAGTCACAATAAAGCAGTGCATGCTGGAGGAATTGCCCAGCCCCATCTAACTTTCATAACCAAGACAACCTACAGCAAGGCATAGGGGGCCCCAGGTCCCTCTGGGCTACCCCTCCATGTTAGAGCAAGGAGGGAGCTGCAGCCAGCTCCATTTTATGCACATCTGATGGCAGGACGCCAACACAACTGTTGACTGAGCCAAATCTGGGCCCCCTTGAACTAAGCCATCACCTAGAGCAGTGTGGAAAAGCACATGCCTCTTGTATCCGCAGCGGCCAAGTTCCTGAAAAGCATCCGAGTTGCAAGATAGCTGTTTTTTTTTCCTGGACTCAGAAAAGGACTGATGTATTAACTCTTTTATATACGCTCCCAGTTCAAAACTGAAAGGTTGCTGTATGATGGAACCTGTTGCTACGTGATGCAGAGAATTAGGAGAGTTCCTCATAGTAAGGCCACCCATTTGATAGATAGCCCAAATGACAGCTCGGGCCAACACGTGAACGCACAGGCAGCTGTCACTGCACGCTCCAGCTCGTCAGCGCTCTCAGCCAAGGTGCAGGTGGCTGCCTTCCAACAGGAACCTCATGCTGACAACAGAGAACGCAGCACAGGCGAGGGACAGCCTTTTGGTCAGGTCAGCTCTCACCCTCCTTCCAAACCGATTCTTGGCAGTGAGCTGCCAGTAAGCATAGGTACTGTACAGAGAGCATCACTGGGAATTTCTCCAGAGTAAAGACTGCTCATGGACCATTACCTGGCAGCAGAGAAAATCCTCCGCTGACTGCTGTTTTAATTATATAGAAAGTCAGCTTCTGGTCTGTGTTCCATTATAATAGTAGCAATAATTAAAAGTACTTCAAGCGAGGAGTCCTCTGAACCTGCTGTTCCATCCAGGCTTCTTGGCATCGCACACTTCCCTTCTTGACTGATATCCTTAGGGAACCAGGCCGACGGTTATTCTGTTCTGCTCCTGTTACAGGTCTGTACTGCGCTCTCTCAGCGCATGTAAGCTGCTAGGTAATATTTGTGTTGGCAGCTGATTCGCATACTTTATGGAAGCAGACCTCCATCTGACCCTCCACGCAGCTCCCACACACAACTTGGTCCGCTCCTTCAGACAGCTTCCTTCTGCTGCAACACACGCCGTTCCTGTTCCCAGCCCTTCTGAAAGCTACAAATCCAGAGGAGAGCTGACGTGCTCAGAACGAGCAGCCTGGCTACAAGAGGCAAGCCTGCAGAATGTCTTTAGACAAACCTACTGAAGAAAATGAGTGCAGAAATTACATGTAGATGTCCTGGTTTTTCTCCTACAAAGTTTGCTCTAACTAAACATTTCTGTGAAACATTTCTGAAAATTCTGTGAAAAAAAAGACACCAACACACAGATTTCTGTGATAAAACTGGTAGCTGTATTTTGTCTTTTTCTTTACTTCCAAAAATATAGCCCAGCCTTAAATATTTAGGCAGTAACATTGCCTCAGAAAACACTTTCACGCTAGAACTCTTCCTTCTTCCCTAAATGACACCGTCCATAGCAAAAAACAAGCCAAAGTCATGTTTTCAGATGACCAAATTCATCTTCGTTACCCATTCACCCTGTGCCTATCAACAGCTCCATTTAAAGCCAGCACAGCTAAACCAGAACAAAGCGATGCAGAGAGCAGGAGTGCGATGGCTGCAGTCAGCCCAGGGCTGCAGGCACTGCACGGCAAAGGGAGAGAGCCCTGATGCCCCATCCCCCACCTCAGCAAACCCATGCCTTCAGTGCAGCGTTATGGAAAACATCTCCATATAGAACTCATTCAGATTGTGAAGATTTACAACATTCTGAATTGCCATTCATCATTTCATTACTTCCTTCCACCAAATAATACAGTCGTACAGAAGTGCATAACACAAACAAGCCATACACTCTTTCCATTGGTGAACACTTTCAGCATTTTATCTCTTGTACATTTAGATCCTCAGGTGAATTCGTCAAACAAAGAACACAGAACTGTATCATCCTATACGTAAGGGCTCTTCCCAACTTGTCATCTTTGTGAGAAAAACTTCCAACGCCTGGAAAGGAAGCAGACTGCCGACTGAATTTTGACTGCGTGTTTACCTACATTTCAAAATCATACAATGATGACAATTGTGTAGCACAATCAAATATTTATTCTCTCCATCTGATTCCTGTGAATAGCTTTTATATTTCCTGCAGCAAACACCCGGCTATCACATTTGTGTATGCTATCTGTATTATTTCAGCAGCCCAGACAGAATGGAGAATTATACTCTTCTCATTAAGTGACTCGCCATTTCTCTGAACAAAACAGAACTCAGTTTATCAACAAATCTTAGAAGAGGCTGACTTACCCAGTTCCCACACAACACACCTTTCATCCCTGTGAGATGAATTACAGCCAGCTGCCACACTCCTCGCTTTTCATCGTTCCCCACACGGTCTGAGCGCAGCCACAGCAGTTATGCAAGGAGGTTCACCCAGGGTGACAGACAGCACCGCATCCGCCTCCTTCCACAGCCACAGCCACACCAGGTCGGTCTCCCACCATTCCCAATGACTGCTACCAACGCTGCAGCTTTGCCGCTTGCGGGAATGGTGGGAGGGCACATGCATGCTGGGAGATTCACTTGCACCAGCATTATCACCATCATACGATGCTGCTCTGCATCAGCTTAGACACAACACCGAGATCCACGGCTTGCCTTTGGGCAGCTCTCGCAAAATCTGGCTTTTCTATGACAATGGCTCCATTTTGCAGGTCAGAGGACTAGGATTACTTTGCCGAGATAAGCTCAGAGCCCTGTTATAACACTACAGGAGCATAATTCAGACAGACAAAAACACGTCCTATTCTGTGCGGTGAGAGATCGAGGCCGGACCTAAAACCCGACAGCCCGACGGCGGACGTTTTTCCGGAGCAGACTGCAGCGTCCGCGCCCGCACGGGCGGCAACAGACCCGGTAACAGAGCGGGGATCGGCGGGACCCGCACCCAGCTGCCGGCCCCGAGGGCGTCCCGCACCACCTGTGGCCCCGAGCCGCCTCGGCACGGCGCAGGAACGGGCGACGAGGAGCCGCCGCAGGGAGCGTCCAACGGCACGGCTCCAGCGCGGCCCGGGGACGGGATCGCGGAACCCGCCGTGAGCTGCGCCCGGCCGGCCCTGCGGAGGGGCGGCAGCGGCGGTGGGCACGGGGCAGTTCAGGCGGTCAAAATAACTGCGATCGTTCTGCGAAACGAGGCCTGACCGCCACCGGCGTGTCACGCCGCGGCTCTCCCCCGCCAGACGCACAGCCCGCTGCCCCCGCCCCTCCGCGGCGCCCCACAGGGAGGTGATGGAGGTGATGGAGGTGATGGAGGTGATGGAGGTGCCCGCGGCCCCGCCGCCCGCCGCCTCACCTGGGCTTCCGCTTTCGGCGGGGCTCCTCCGCCGGGCCGGGAGTTCTGCGGGGACGACACAGCGGTGAGGGGCGCGCCGCCGCCGGGCCTGCTCCGCTCCGCGCCGCCCGTTCCTGCCCGCCCCGCCCCGACCGCGCCGCTCCGCCCCCCGCACCTGGAGGCCGGGCCGGAGCGGGGCAGGCGCTGCCGGGCCGCTCCTCTCACCATCCGCGCCGCCCCGGGCGAGGCCACCGGCGCCGCGGCCACCGAGGCTCGGGCTGCGCGGAGCGCGGCCGCCGCCTCACGCCGGTCCCGGCCGGCCTCGCCCCGCCCCCGCCCCTTCCCATTGAGCGAACGGCCGGGCCGGCGGCCACGCCGTCCTCCGATTGGCGGAGCGCGCCGTCACTCCGTGCGGCCCCGCCCTCTCCGCGGTACCGCCGTTCGGCGAGAGGCGGCCGGCGTGCGGCAGCGCCACCCTGCGGTGAGGCCGGGGAGGCGCGCAGACATCCGGGCCGCTCCGCATCCCGCCCGCGCGCCCCGCCCTCACGAACCCGCCGCTCCCGGGGCGCGACCGCCGCACCTCGGCCAGAGCCGCAAAGGCGGCTCCGCGCTGACGGCGACCGCGCCGGCACCGAAGCGCCGCCGCCGCCGCCCCGCCTTCCCTGGCCGCGCCCCCGCGGGGGTGTGGCGGCGCGCGGCCCCTCCTCCTCCCCCCGCCCATTCGCGGGCTCCGCCGGTGCCGCCCCTTCCCTTTTCCGCCCGGACCGCGCCGGAGTCGCCATCATGGTGAGTGCCGCGGCCCTGAGCGCCGCCATCCGCCGCCATCCGCGGGCCCTCGGCCGCCCCCGCCGCGGCGCCGGGCTCGGGCTCACCGCCATCGCGGGGTGGGGGCGGAGGGGGGGGCGGGCGGCGGCGCGGGGCCGCGGGGCGGCGGAAGGCCCGGGACGGGCCTGACGGCACGGGGCTGACGGCTGTCCGCCGCCCGCAGGCCAAGATCAAGGCCCGAGACCTGCGGGGGAAGAAGAAGGAGGAGCTGCTGAAGCAGCTGGACGACCTCAAGGTGGAGCTGTCACAGCTGCGCGTGGCCAAGGTGACGGGCGGGGCCGCCTCCAAGCTGTCCAAAATGTGAGTGGGGAGCGGACCGTGGGGGGGAGAGCGGGGCCGGGGCCGCTGCTGCTGCGGCAGGCGGCGCGCTGCAGATGTGCTGTCGCGGGGCCGCGCTGCTGCTGGGCGCTCCTGGTTTGAAATGTTTGAAATGTCCGCCGGCCGCCCCTCTGAGCTGATCTGTTTTCATCCTTCGCAGCCGCGTGGTGCGGAAGTCCATTGCCCGAGTCCTGACCGTGATCAATCAGACTCAGAAGGAGAACCTGAGGAAGTTCTACAAAGTAAGTCCACCCTTCTGCTGTAGTTATCGGTGTTGTCAGCTCAGTGGGAGCCTGCAGCAGCCTTCCTGCGAGGCACGGCCCACTTCTGGAAGGAGCGGTGCCTGCAGTGCAGACACTGTAGCTAAGTGTTGGTTATGCTGCAAGCGACTGAGCGATTCTTTCTCTCAGGGCTTTTTGATTACTTTCCAAATGTTACTTGTTAGGAATTTGGATTGCTTGGAATAGGAGAAAAATAACGTTTCAAGAAGTAAGGTTCAACCTTACAACCAATTTCTCATCTGAGTCAAAGTTAGTACAACTGGTACAGAAGTTGGTATCAGCTCATGTTTTGCAGCAGATAGCTCCAGTTAAAAGAAGCTTGAGGTGCTGCTGCGAGTCTTTATGGGCAGCTTGGCTCGCTGTGTGCTCACGCTACTGGTCCCCATATTGCCATCTCTTAACCTCTACTTTTGTATGTTTTGAAAACAGGGCAAAAAATATAAGCCTCTCGATCTGCGGCCGAAGAAGACTCGTGCCATGCGGCGCAGGTTAAATAAACATGAAGAAAACCTGAAGACCAAAAAACAGCAACGAAAAGAACGTTTGTACCCTGTCCGAAAATATGCCATCAAGGCATAAGAGTGCAGTGTACCAGAAGTTCTTAATTACATTGGCTGAGTATGTGTCATTAAATAGAACTTTGTTTGGAAGGTGTCAGTGGTGTTCTCTTGAATAGCAGTGAGATAAAGATGTCATCAGCTTCATGGAGAGAAACAGGATTCGCAAAGTGCCTGTTTGAGCTTTTACTGTTAATGAATTTACTAACATAATTTGCAGCTGAAGATTATTTTTCCTTTGTGAAGAGTGAACAAATGAATACAGATCTGTGAACCTGGTTCAACTTAACATGTAAGGCAAAAAATTTTTAATTTGAGGTTCATTTAAAATCGAAATTGCGCGGTTTACAGTCAGCTGGTGTTCATAGCTTAAAGAGCTCGAGAACAAACATTTTTGTCTTGTCCCAGTAGTTACGTGTTGTGGAGGTGAGCTGCTTTGCTGAGGGGTCTTAGTGGGCTTCCTTGAAACTGAAGATTTCCCACCTGGAAATCTAAGGTGTTATTTGCACTGCAGCCACTTACAGCGGCTTCTTTTAAACTAATATCTCCAGAGAGTAGAGCAGGTTCATGTGGCCTTCTGGTCTTGGAGGAGACCCGAGAACTGCAGCATTGTAGCTGAAATCTACTGCCTTTGCAGTATTACCTAGAGGATCCAATCTGCTGTACGGAGCCTGATTAGGGGCATTGTTTCAGATCTGACAAAGCATGCTGAAGGATGACGCAATGAGCTGAACCAGTAAAGGTAGTATTTACATTTCTGTGGAGTTCAGCACATAAACACTGATTTCTGAGGTTCAACAGTATGCTGTTCTGCTATCATTAAAGCATCACAAGTGTTGGATAGCAGATCCCAAGCCTCTCTTGCACATAAAACCAAAAGGTCTGTTGTAAGATGTCCACGATAAGTTGTAGCAGCACTTTCCTTCAAGATGGTTGGTGCAGGGCTGCAGAGGGATTGCAGCAGGTGCCTGCAGGCAGTAGCTTGCACAAGCTACTGTGAAATCTGCACGCTGATGTTGCGCTCACCCAGAGAGTTAAAGAGTATAATGATGACCCATTTCTAATAGCATGCAGGGTATTTCTTTTGAATGAGAATTGTCCTGCCAGGTCATTGCTAGCATGTGAGATGGGAAAGGAGGAAATTTGGTTACAGTTGAAGAGTTAGGATGGCATGAAAGATTCTGACCAAGTATTTCTTCTGTGTGCATTTGGAGGCTGACTGCAGCGAAACAAAATACAGCAGCCAGGGCAGAGAAAGCTGGTTCAACCAGAATATTGTTACCTTGAGAGTTTGTAGGCAGTCTCCTGTCTCACGGTTCCAAACGTTAACCTGTGAAGCACAGAACTGGTTAAATTTTCTGTCCCCTGCTGGAGTCTTTTAGAGCCCAGCATTCTGATTCTGCAGGCCTTTTTTGGTTCTGATGTAATGAAGAGTTGCTCAGTGCTGTGATGCAGCAGTGATGGCTTGTGTTAGTGAAATTGATGAATTCAAACAGAAGAAATTCTCTACTCATCAGGGAGTCCTTCCAAAAGATTGGATCCAGATTCTGTTCAGGGAAAAGATCTTAATTCTGCTCACTGAACTCAGCATACAAATGAAGGATTTTTAAGCCTCAAATAAATTGTAACCAGAGAGAGGTCTAATTATGTGTGGTAAAGTGAATTTCCCATATACTGAGCTCTTAGGAGGGATAGCTTTACAATGATGCTAATATTGGCTGTGTGATAGCTTTGTTCAGAGCTTAGTGTGGACCTGAACATTATATGTTTGGCACTAAAGGAGACCCAGCCAGGCAAGCTGTGGGCTCAAGCCCTGTAGGGGTCCAGGCTGCTGAAGTACACTTTAAGATGGAAAATTGTGTGTGGAAGCTTGGGCTCCGTGAGGCTGATACATTGCCTAAACAGAGGTGGGGTTGCAAGGTAGGTTGCTTCCCTTTCTGAATACCCTGCAGGGCCAGCAGCAGCCCGTGAGGAGAAACAGGAGCTTTTGACCAGTCCCAGGAGCCCAATGCCTGAACAGGGAGGGAAAGGTGCTCCTGTGTCCTGGCAATTGGGCAGGCTGGACAGGCTGTGCTCAGGTGACTTTGGGCTTTTTGGAGAGGCATCCTGTGCCCCAGCACTGCTAGGGGCAGCACTAAGCCTGATGGCTCTTAGCAGCATTCCTGTCACGGAGGAGCAGACACGGTGATGTTGCCCTGATGGCCCAGAAGTCCTGTCCTGAGCAGTGGGGTGTAAATTCCAGACTGATGTATGATCCCAGGAGCTGACTGCCTGTCGAGAGGAGCACGAGCTGTGGTGTGATTTGAAAGAAGATGGGGAGAAGCTGAATGCAGTGCTGGAGGCAGCATCAGAGTACACTTGAAGTGACGTGGCTGCTGCTGTCTGCCCCCAGCCAGGGATGTGACAGCAGCACTGCTTAGGGAGGATCTTTACAGAGGATCCAATGGGCTGTCACTAACACACCATTTACTGGTCAGTAATGGGGAGAAAAAAGAAAAACAGAAAGAAACTTAATTACCAGGCTCTGAATATCCCAGGAGAAGTCACAAGTTCGGGCAGCACTGGTGTGCACAGAGAAGACAACTTGGAGAGACAAAATTAACAGCAGCTTGAAGCTGCCATCACTGAACGCCTGAAGTCGTAGCACGGTGTGCTGCTGTTTGCAATTCCACGAGGTGCAGTTACGAGCAGTAATTCACGTTCCTTCCCTTCCCTGAGCACGCTGCTTCTGCTAAGGGTTCAGGTAGGGAAAGCATTTGTCGCTGCCGTCAGAACAAAAAGGACCCGTGTCCCCGGCCTTCGTGCCGAGCTTTGCGAGTTCAGCAGTTCGTGCTCGTTCCCCCTTACCTGAGAGTCCCACAGGACGGCTGTGTTGTCCCACTTGTCCCAGATCCCCGACGGCAGCTGTTTGCCGTCGGGTCTGAAGCACGCGCGCTCCTGCAGGGTCCGTGAGGGCAGGCGGTGCGGTGCGCAGCTCGTGCCTGGACCCGCGGGTCGGAGGCCGCTGCTGCCCCGCACCGCTCAGGACGAAAAGTCGCTGCGCTGCGCGGCGGTGCGGTCTCGCGAAGCGCCGGGCGGAGGCGGCCGTCGGGGGAGAACCTGCGGTCCCTGCGGGGAAGGAAGAGGGGATGGCGTCAGCGGGGGGTCCGCCGGGGCGGGATCGCCTCTTTCCGGAGGGGAGGGCCCTAACAGCGGGGGCGAGGAGCGGGGCCCGCGCCCACCTCCCGCCGTTCCTCCGCAGCCGCGTACCGGCGTCGCGAAGAAGCGGCCGCCGCGCCGTGCCGGCTTTGACCGCGGGGCGGCACCCGCGGGGCTCGGGCGGAGCGCCTCTCCCGAGCGGCCGGAGCCGGCTGCCGCCCGCCGGGCCGCGTGACTCCGCTCCAAGCGAGCGGACGGTGGGCTCTCGAGGTGCGGGGCGGGCGAGGCGGGAGCGGAGCTGCGGGCCGTGCCGGCCGGGCAGGAAGGCTCGAATGCCGTGGGTGCGGTGGGGATGCGCCTGGAAGGTGCGCTGGAAACCCTCCCCGTGCCGCTGCAGAGGCTGAGCCCAGGCCCTCACGTAGCAGGGACGGTGCGGACAGAAGGGTCAGGGAGGGCAATAAAAATAGACCGCTGCAGCTGGCTCCGTCTTCAAAGCACGTTTGCAATGTGGGCACAGCACCAGGACACGCTCCCATCTGCTGCCTGACGCACGTTGCTCATTCCCCAGATCAGCAGCCCTGGCCAGACATAAGAAGCGAGGGAAGGGCTGATTCCTTCTGTCGAATTCTCCAGGTGCTGTGGATCCCATTGGCACAGCACTGTGACCACACAGCTCTCAGCGATGTCCAGCACGGGGCTGTGTACGGCAGGTGGCCTTGGAAGTGTGCTCTTTCCCCTGCAGGAGGAGCAGCCCTCCTCATGTGGCCTGGGGCTGGCACGGCTGGTGGAACAGGAAATGGCAGCTGTGGACACGGAGCTCTGGAGTTGGAATGAGGGCTGAGGTGCTTGGCACAGGGCTGGTCCCTTCCAGAGGTCCCGGTGTGCCTGAAACTGCAGATCGAGGCAGGCACCAACCTTCCTTCAGCTGCAGCTGGGAGAGCACCTGGAGCAGGGCCCACTGCACCACATCCTGCACACAGCCCCGCCAGTAACTGAGAAGGAAGCAGAGAGAGTTGAGGAGAACTGGGGCTTATCTGCTTCACTACCCATCCTGCCAGTCCCCTCAGGATCGGTCTGTGCCCTGCTGACCAGAGGGTGTTTGTAGAGCAAAGGATGCCATGCACGCAGCCACCCCCCACTCGGCCCCAGCCACCTTCCCTGGTTGCTGCATCACTGTGGCCTCAGGCCTCGCAGTCCCGCCGTGTCCCCATCTCAAGCTTCATTTGCTGCTCGCTGCCGCGCGGAGGGATTTTAATCTCTTAATCACGTTATGAGCAGAGGTGGTGCTGGGCGCGCACAGGAGGAATGTCTGGAAGTCAGCTGTGTCTGGCACGGCAGGAGCCTGTCCTGTCCCAGCCACGTGTCCCCACCACAGGCTGCCTGGTGACATCCGTCCCACTTGGCCCTGCCTGGCCAGCAGCACGAGGACGAGCGGCACTGTGCAGACCAGAGGCAGGCAGGGCTGCGTCCGGCCCAGCTCTGTGGCGGTGGCGGCACCCAGGGAGGTTTCAGGCATCACTGAGCTGCGTGTCCCAGCCCTGAGCAGGCGCTGAGAGGCGGCTCCGTGGCTGCGGCTGTGGGGGAGCGCATGGCACACAATAGCAGAGAAAGGCATCGGGGTGACTTTCGGTTGAGAAAAAGACGGAGCGGTGGGGGGCCGGGGAAACCCGAAGAACACATCATAATAACCCCTCGGGGAGACAAAGGCCCTTTGTTTTCGCTCACGGCTGGTGCTGTGTCAAGCAGGAGCGGGGCAGGCGGCAGGGATGCTTCCCAGCGCCCACACGGAGCAAAGCCTCGGGATGGGGCGGTCGGTGTGAGCTGCAGGTCCATGGGACCAGGCTGCGGTGCCCAGGTGGGGCAGGCAGCCACTGGGGAAGGAAGGACCGCGCTCAGGAAACGTCTGTCACTTGGGCGCAGAGTTCCTTGTTATCGTGGTGCTAATGGCAGCCCGGGCGTGCTTTCACAGGGGCGCTTCGCAGGAGGCCTCGCGGCTGCAATTAGCCAGCGCTGCCCTCCAGCCACGCGGTTCTCATTAACCTCACTCTGGGAACTCCCCGCTCCCCGCCCCTTCGGGCCCCACGCTCCCTCCTCTTGCCTGGCTCTGGGCAGCGGGGACGGAGGTGCCGGTGGCACCGCACACAGATGCCGTGCGGGTGCCTGCAGTGTGGGAGCGCTGCGGCCGGGGACGCGGTGCGGCCATGCTTCGTTTTTGCTGGTTTTTCTCCCAGAGGGAATGGAGGGATGCCCCTAACCCCAAACCCATCGCTGGATTGGTGCAGCAAGAGAGCACAGAGCAGAACGGCAGCCCCCGCAGAAGAACAACAAAGCCCTGGAATTAGAGATGTGCTGGGAGTTTACTTTACTGCAAAAAAATGTCAGAAATCTGTATTGTTTGGACAGGGATTTGCTGGGGATCGTTAGATAAAAGCCTGGCAGGGACCCAGCCAGGGGGAAAACAGTCAGCCGGCTCCTTTCCCGCGGCGGGGACTGGCGGCTGAGCAGGGGATGCGCCGCACCGCGCTGCGCTGCCCGGCGGCGGCCGTTGGATCCGGTCAGGAGCAGGGCCGGGCAGGACGTCCTGCGGCCCCGGGACGGTGCCGGGCTGCCCGTGCGTGGTGCCATCCTGCGCTGTTCCCAGCAGGAAGCTTCAGCCGTGCCCTGGACGTGTGCTCTGCCCCGGGGCTGCTCTCGCCCCTTTGCCCCCCGGGGCCCCCTGGCAGCGTCTCACTTGCCAAATTTTGCAGTGGGTTGGGGCAGCTGTGGCCGCCTGTGCCCACGCTCAGCTGTTCTCTCTATTCAGGTTTCCTGGCACCATCCCAGCTCCCAGATGTTCCTCCTCAGGCTGCAGCTCCGACCTGGAAATTCCTCTTTTTTTCCTCAGGACAAGCCAGGCTGCGCTCCTGGCACTCAGCGCCTGCGGGATGCGGCCATGGCACAACTGCCGGGTGCCAGCCCAGCCTGGCTTCGGAAGGAACGACACAGGCAGACGACGTGGCTTTATATTTGTTACTTTTTAATACCGTTCACTTCTAAATTGACAGAAACCAAGCCAAGCAATGCCCTGCTGGGGAGGAGCACAAAGGCTGCAGCTCCCTGGCTACGTGCCCATCCCAGTCTGGTGTTGGGTGCTGGGTTCAGGCAGGGCAGAGCGTCACACCAATGCTGCTCTGTGCCAGCGCACAGCTCCTGTGAATGCATTTAAATAACAAGCTAATGGGCTGCAAAAGCAAAGGCATCTTAATTGCGTCTTCTAAAATAGCAATCGGTGGCTGTTCCTCCCAGCGAGGCAGCGCTCAAGTTGCACCCGCCCTGCAGGACGTGGTCCTGGGTGGGCCAAGAGCACCCAGAGCTGCAGCAGGAGCAGGGCCAGGCTGGGTGCAGCCACTCTGTGCTGGGGTGGGTGCCCGGTGTGGGGACACACAGGGCTCTGCTCCTCACTCTGCCCCAGGCTTCCAGAGCCGCCGGAGGTGGGAGGTGGCCCCAGCAGCCACCACGTCGTGGGGGTGTCCGTGTCCCCTCACCCTGACGCTCCCCCACCCCGGCCCCAGTGTGCAGCACAGTGTGGGGCTTCTGGGTGGAGGGGGCTCTTGGGGAGCTGGGCTGTCCCCGCGGCCCTGGCCAGCACTCAGACCACAAAGTGCAGCCGGTATGTCATCTGGTGGCCGTTGTCCCAGGCGTAGAGCACCTTCTCCTTGGGGTTGTAGTCAACCTGCGTGGTGAAGGCGTACTCATTGAGGAAGGGCAGCCGCAGCTCTGCCTCGGTGTCTGTGTGCGTGTCGAAGGCATAGGAGATCTGCCCCTCCTTCTGGCTGGAGGTGTCCACGGCGTACAGGATGCCGCAGATGATGAAGCAGTTCCCGTAGGCGTTGCGCTTCAGCCCCGTCCTCCAGGTGGTCTCCCTGCGTACCGACAGGTCCCCGGGGTCCAGGCGGCTCAGCACAATCACCTCCTGCTGCACGTAGTCGTCATCCGCCGAGGGGTAGATGACCCAGAGCCCGCTCTCATCCACTGCGAAGTCGATGTCTGAGTGCCCCCTCCACTTCCAGGGTGTCGTGTCCTCGTACACCACGTCGTGCAGCAACGCCCATGCCGCCACATAGCGCTCCTTCAGGTCGTACTTGATGATGTTCTTGGTGAAGGCGCGGTTGTAGTAGAAGGCGCCACGGTACACCACGTGCCCGGTGCCGATCCAGTTGTAAGGCAGCTTGTAGAGGTTGCTCCAGCGGCCTGGGAGGGGTGGGAGGTGTTCAGAGCTCTTGGTGACCACAGCCCAGGCACGGAGCTGTGCCCTGAGCTGGGGGACACAGAGAGCCTGGGGGCCCCGCGCCACCACCAGCCCTCACCCTGCTTGAAGTTTTCCAGGCTCCTGAACTCCACCAGGCTGTTGCCATAGTAGTAGTTGGTGACATAGATGCGGTCATCCTTGGCTGTTGGGTCCTTCATCCAGGCCCCTTCATTGCGCCCATAGCTGTGGTGCTCCGTGGGGGGGTCCACTGAGCGGATGGTGCCTTCACACTCCACCTCCTTCACTGCGGAGGGAGGAGGAGGGGAGGAAGGCTCAGTGCTGCCAGACACAGTTTGGAGCTGCCCGCACCACCCACCTTCACCCACCTCTGTTGGGCACTTCAGAGCCCCCAGTGCTGACAGCTCCATCCCCGAGGGCGCTGCCAGGGGGGCTGTGGGCAGTGGTGCGTGGGGCCGGGGCAGTGCTGGGTGCAGCTGTGGTGTGGGGCAGTGGGGGCTCTGTACGTGTGCCAGGCTGAGCCGGGGTGTCCGCGAGGCCCCGTTCCTGCTGCCGCTCGGGCATGGTCACCACCCTGGCAGGGCTCTCTGTGTAGACATGTAGTGGGGTCAGCACTGGCCATGGGGAGCTATGGGATGGTGCTGCAGCCTCACAACCCCAGCCTGAGCACTCACCACGGCTGCCGGCCGTCCTCTGCACCTCCTCCACCTGCCCAGCCTTGTAGTAGGTGATGCCCCGCACCACAGTCTGCTGCTGTGCGGGCAGCTTGGGCTTGGCCGTGGGCTGTGGGCCCCCTCTCTTGGCATTTTCCTTCTTAGGCTTCTCAGGCTTTAGTGGTTTCTCCTTGGGTGTGCGGGCAGGCAGTGCCTTGCGGACAGCAGGGAACCGCGCCGCGTCCTTCCCACGGCTGCCTGCCGTGTCCTGGGGGAGCCCAGTCAGAGCCCTCCAACCCCTTCACACAGTGGAGCTGTGGGCACTGCTGCAAGCCTGCAGCATGGTGGAGCTGGGGGTACCTGTGCTTTGCTGTCGGGAGCGGCAGCAGCATCCTTCTGCAGCAGCTGGTAGCCCAGGTTGGAGATCTCCTTCTTGATGCTGATCATGATGTCGGAGTAGTTCTCATAGCGCTTCATCTGGTCAGCAAGGTGCAGGACGCTCTCCTTCATGATGTTGTTGTCCCGGCTCAGGTTGGTCTTGATGGTCTGGGAGAGAAAAAGAGGGAGAAGTGAGGGAGAAGAGAGGAGGTGTGGAGCCCCACAGAGGAGCCCACAGCACCCCAGAGGACCCGAGCACCCAGATGACACCTGGCCACAGATTGTGGTGTTGCTAGGTTGGGTGCAGGCACGCAGTGGGGAAGGTGCTCACCTCCTCCAGCGTGTTCATCTGGGCCACCACCTTACTGATGTAGGAGTGCACCTTCATCAGGTCCATGCTGTAGAGCGTTCCCTCCAGTAGGTCCACCATAGACTGCAGCTGCGGGGGGAAAGCCAGGCTGGGGTGGGGAGCACAGGGCCCCAACCCATGGCTGTGGTGCTGTGGGGCTGGGACCTACCTTGAAGAGCTCGGGTGCCTGCTTCTTCAGCTTCTCCATCTTCCACTCGTTCTCACAAGGGTTGAGTGAGGAGGGCGGCGCAGTGCAGGAGCACTTGCAGTCAACCCCTGAGCTCACCGTCTCCACAGTGTAGAAGTCCTCCACGCGTGCGCTGCCATCCCTGACGCGGCTGCAGGCGTCCTTGCTGAGCGGGCGCAGGATGCACTTGCAGCGGCAGTCAGAGCCCTCCGAGGTCATCCGCACCTGGTCCTCGCCCAGCGCCTGGGGGGATGCAATGCGGGGGTTCCCGTGGGGCCAACAGCCACCACTGGGCCCCTTCCACTGCATGTTCCTCCTCGGAGGCTCCCGGCCACAGGGCACGGCCTGACCCAGGCTGCTCCGTCCCTGTCCCCACCAGAGTGACAAAGCCCAGAGCTCCTTGCCCACACAGCAGAATGCCACACGCCCAGGGACAGGGTGTCCACTCCTGATGCCACCTCCCAGCTGCTGGCCAGCCCCAGGCGGGCAGCTCTGCCCTCAAGTGCTGCAGCATGGCCGGGGGAGCCATGGAGCTCACACCCCACACAGGGCCGATTGTTCACGCTGAGCTGCAGCCGCCCCGGGGTGAACTCGGCTCTGCAGATGGGCTCCCCCACGGCCCACTGCGCATCAAGAGCTCCCTTGTTCCCACACAAGGCCCTGATGCACGCTAGCGAGCACAGGGTGCTGTCAGCTGCCTTTTCCAGATAAGGAGCTGCTCTCTCTCCAGCCATGTTTGGGAACAATGCTCCCAGCATGCGGGCTCAGTGATGCTGTGCATCACCCAGCGCAGAGGTGGCTGCACTGCGGCTTCAGCATGGGGAAAACCACTTGCTCCTGTCCTGCACTGCTCACCACGTGCTGTGAGCAGGGCTGTGAGCAGGGCTGGAAGATGCAGCACAGCAGCTGCAGCCGAGATTTCTCCACCCTGGGCCAGCACCACAGCGGAGTGACGCCAGTGGAGCAGGGAGGGCTGCCTGTTCTCTCTCACGCCCATCCGTGAAAAAAAAACTTTGTCCAAGCTGGTTTTGGCTGAGACACTGGCTTGGAAAAAATGGTTTGTGTGTGCTGTAGGCTGTGTTGCAGGCTGCCCAAAGGGCACGCACTTCCCTGGGGGTCAGCAGGAACTCCTCTCACAGAGCCGTCCTGGGAACACTCTGAAGGGTGGTAGGACAGTGGTGGGGCCAATGCTCTGCAAACACAGCTCCAGTGGGGAAATTGGGAAGGGGAGTGCCTGCAGTCATGAGCACACTGATCACCGCCACTGCCACTCTTCCTGTCCGTGTCCTGGTGAGTCCCTGTGTGAGGGAATGCAGAGCTCAGTGCTGCTCGCGGTTCAGGAAAGAGCACACCCTGGGTGATGGGTTTCCGTTGGGACTTTGGGGCTGGGCCAGGTGGTAACCTAGCTGGGTTGGCCAAGGTCTGCCCAGAGCTCAGCCCACCCCTGCAGCCCGTGGGCAGGAGCAGATCCTGGTGCCGTGAGGGGAAGTCAGTGTCGGGACCTCTGGGAGCGTGAAGACCCTGCGGCCATGGGATCAGTGTGACTCACTCTGGGAACACCCGGTGGCAGGGCTGGGACATGGCTTTAACTCTTGTTGTCCCATCCTCCACACACCAGGAGTGCAGTGTGGCGTGGGAAAGGGCAGTGCTGCAGCATTTCTGCCAGCACTGTGCCTTCCCGACCCAGTGGTGGCTGAGAACGGTGACCAGCACTGCTCCTTCAGCCACCCCTCGAGTGGGAGGCTCTCCTTCCTGAGGTTGCAGCGAAGCCCCCCTGCTTTGCATTTCTTTTCATAGGGAAACGAAGGATTCGGCAGCTGGGAGGAAACCATTGGGCTGCTGGCAGTGCTGCAAATGGAACAGGATCTAGTCAACCTCTCTGCAGGGCGCCGCGGGCAGCGAGGGATGTGGGCAGGGAGCGGATCCCCTTAGCAAACACTGCAGCTCCAAGCCCCGCTGACCTCCCCATGGCCGTGTCAGCACTTGTGCAAACACGAGGGAGAGCTGCAAGCTTCTCCCTCCATCTCTGCATGCGCTGAGCCAGCAGCGCAGCCCTCCCAGACAGGGAACCCCGCTGCTGGCTCAGCCCATGCAGAAATCCACATGCGCAGCAGCATCCCAAAACCATGAGAGCAGCAGTCCCAGCCCTCGCAGTCGTGCACCTTCCAACCGGTGGCAGCTTCCCGTGGGAGCAGAGCAGGCCGTGCCATTTCCCTCCCATTGCTTCTTGGCAGCACTGCTCTGGGGAGGAACGGGGCAAAGCGTCATGCTTAGGTGGGGCGTGCACAGTGCCGTAGCACTGCTCTGCGTTGTTTGCGCTGCGCGTGGAGTTGAGCAAACCGAGGTGGGAAGCGGCAGTAGCTCCTACAGCCAGGCAACAAGGGAGCTCCCTTTGCACGGGCGGTAACATTAATCCCCGTTCTGCCCGCTCAACGGCTTCCTTAAACAGGAACCATATGTTCTATTTATACGTGAAAGGTTATAAACAAGGAAGTCTTAAAACAAGGTCCTCTCATTGCGGAGGTCGGTGTCAGGAGCATCAGCGGGGGCTGTACTCGGCGTTCTTCCCTGCTCAGTGCGGGCGGTGCTACCGAGGCCGGCGGACACCCAGCGGCTCCGTGGGGCGGCCGCAGCCCCGTTTCCCCGTGCCGTGTCCGTGCCGTGAGCCGGGGAACTTCCCCAGCGCTGCTTGCGTTTCTGGGACCCACGCAAAAGCGCTCCCACGAGCGCTGAATTTGTGCCATTTGGTGAAAGAGGGACCTTCGCCGACGAGCGCCGGGCAGCGCTCGCCACGATGCGATTTCTGCCGCGGGGTTTGCGCGGTGAGCGGCCCCGCGGGGGAACCCCGCCGCTCTCCGCCCGCGGGCGCTCGGCACAACGCGGCCCGCCCCGACGCGCGGAGCCGGGCGGGAGGCGGCCGCGGGGCGCGCCGGTGTGCGGGGCTCAGAGCCCCGAGCTCCGCGTCGGGAGCCGCCCCGCACGGCGCAACCGGTGCCGCACCGCGGGAATCCGCGCCGTCCGTCTCCCGAGCCTCGCGCGCGGAGCGCTCCTTCCCGGGCTGCGCTCGCGGCGCCGATCCCCGCCCGACGGCTCCCGGGGCTCCGCCCGCGCCGCGCACCTGAGCCCCGCGCTCCCGCTGCGCTCGCGTCCGGTCCGCTCCTTACCGTGACGGCGCCGCGCGCCGCGGCCAACGCCGGCAGCAGCAGCGCCGGGAGCAGCAGCGCCCGCATGGCGAGAGCGGCGCCGAGCGCCCGCACCGAGCGCCCGCTCCGCCCGGCCAGCGCGGGGAGGAGCCGCCCCGCCCCGGCCCCGCGGCGGCACCGGCCCCGAGCTGCTCCTCGTCCCGCCCCGGCGGAGTGCCCGGTGCCCGCCCCGGGGCCGGACGGCTTCGTGCCGCCCGCGGCTGCCTCCGCCGTGCCGTGCCGTGCCGTGCCGTGCCGTGCCGTGCCGTGCCGTGCCCTGCCCCGCGCCGCTGCCCGGCAGCCCAGCCCAGTCCCGCCCCGCCCCGCCTCGCCCCCCCCACAGAGCGGAGCCCCCCGCGCCGCACCGCCTCGAGCCCCGGCCGCCCCCTAGCGCCGCACGGCCCCGCGTGGGACGGGGCGGGCCGGAGGGGCGGGGCCAAAGCGCTGCGGGGCGGGGCGGACGAAGGCGGAGCCTCTTTCCCCGCGGGGATATCCGGCGGCGCGGGCGGACTACGCTTCCCGGCGTTCCCCGCGGGAGGCGGGGCGGCCCGGCACGGCCCGTGCGCGGCGCCCGCAGCGGCGGCTCGGGGCTGTCAGCCAGCGCCCGGAGCGGCCATGGGGCAGCGCGGCCGCCGGGGCCCCTGAGAGCCGCCGCGCCCCGGCCCCGGCGCCGCCATGGAGCTGGAGCCGCCCGCGGAGCTCCCGGAGCCGCGCGCCGCCGCCAAAGGACCGCCCCGCAACGGTGAGCGTGTGCGCGGGGCGCGGGGCCGGGCGCGCTGGGGGGCTCGGGGCGCGGGCCGGGCCCGGCCGTGCCGCGGGGGCGCGAGGCGGTGCGGTGCGGTGTCACGTTGCGGTCCGGCCCGGGTCCCGCAGCGGCGGGTGGGGGCGCGGGCGCGGGGTCCGGCGGGGGCGCAACAAAGGCCGCGGCCGCGCTGCCCCCTCCCGGCCCCGCGCTTTGTGCCCCGGGCGCTGCCCCGGCCCTGAGCGCCGCGGGCGGGAATCCGCGCGGGGGGGGGGGGCGCGGCGCTCCGGGGGGCGGTGTTGCTCCGCGCCGCTCCCGGTGCCGCCGCCGCTCCCCGCGTTTCGGGCCGCGCTCCGGACGCTGCAGGCACCATTTGGGCCCTTTTACACTTCCAGTATGCAGCTGCCGCATCTGCACTTGAATGTCCCTGCCAATTTTTATGGCTTACGATTGCATTTTACCATCTTAAAGCACTTTTCTCTACAAAGGATTCTCTCGAACAAAAGGGGCTCCTTATCGGGCAGTGCGGTGTTTGCTGCCTTCGAGCGCTGCCCCGATGCACCCAGTGCAGAGATGGGCATCTTTGTAACCACCCATGAATGTCCCTGTGGGCTGTGACCCTCGGCGCAGAGTTGCTGGGTGCGTTTTATCTCCCTTAATTAGATGTTCAGTTGGATAAGAAGCATCGCATCTTTCCTTTCGAACTTTCTGCCTTGGTTTGGGAGCTGATGCTGCTGTGGTCCCCATTCAGCAGCGTTAGCAGTTAGCCCGTGCTCACTGCTTTCCCTTAAGAGATGTGGGACTCGAGATCCCTTTTGTTTGCTCCCCCAGGTTTCCAGCAGCTCTGTGCGGGCATTGCTGCCGCTACCTGCAGCCCGTCCTGCTGCTCCGTGGGTGATGTAACCCCGGTGCTGCTTTGCCTCCAAAATCATGGAGTGCTGACGCTGTGCAGAGCTGCTGTGCGACCTTCAGCCTCTGCCCGGCTGGGTGCAGCGGGGCGATGGGCTCAGCGATTTGCTGGCTCAGAAAATACCTGCAAATGGCAGTGGGGGTACGGGCTGGGAGAGCTTCCCTGCCTAACAAAGGTTCCTAGCCCTTCTGGTACCTCAAAGTACGGTATCTATGCTCACTCTTTGAGAAAACAATTGAACTTTATGGCATTGTGTGTAAAAGTAGGTTACATTAGCGGTGGCTGTGTTAAAACCCATTAATGAACTTAAGCCCTGCATGTGGTTCCTGGTTAACCCTGAGCGGACTGCCGGGGTGCGCTGCTGGCAGTGGGGGGGAGCCCCAGCATTGCTTTGAAATGCAGCCGTGTGGCTCTGGGTCAGCAGTTACAGCCTTGCTGTCGGAGCCGTATTTCGGGCGCTCTCACCTTCTGAGAGGATTTCCCCCAGCATGTAGCAAACACACTTTGTAGTACTGCACGTGGAAGGCAATGGGTGAAATACATTATTTTTCAAAGTTGGTGCATAAGGGCACCGATTTCTCCTGCAGCAGAAGCAATTTCTTCCCGGCAGGGTCCTTCTGGAGACCGCTTTCTCTGTGCTTGTATTTGGTACGTTTTTCTTCTGTCAGTGAAACATAAAAACAATCAGAGTGGTATCGGAGATGTTGTGTTCGGTGGGATCAGCAGCAAAGCAGCTATCCAGAATTGAGGCAATGTGCGCTTTGCCGTGCGGCAGTGCTGTAAGGCGGACGTGTCAGGAGAGCAGCAGAGCTCCTCAAGTTTCTTAAAGTCAGGCAGGTCTCCATTTGGGTGAACCTTGTGGCAGAAGGGAGAGCTGAGGGACCGCAGAGATGTGCTGTGCTCTAAGAGCAGTCGCTCCTCACGCCCTTCCCTTTCCCGCAGCTCTCTTAGAAATGTTACTGACGGTTTTAGTGGCTCTTTATGCTTGGTTGCTTTGCATCTGATGAGATAAGCCTTTGCCTAACAAAGGCTGCTTCGTGGATATCGCTGGGTCCTGGCTGACTCGCTATAAACATTTCTTTGAAGCTTTAGGAAGGAAAACAAATTGAGTCGTGGGATGGCATTGCTGCTAAAGTCAGATTGAATCCAGGTGAAGTTACGGTGTGAGACGGGCACAGTGCTGGTTTGTGTGGCAGGATGGGTCTCACACTGCAGTGACAAACAGTGCAGTTCTGAGCTCAGGGTGAGGAATGAGGTTGGCAATTTAGGAAGAACTAATTCCTCCATTTTGATTTGACGGTGAGATGAAAAAATGCCTCTTGGTGTGAAGTTGGAATTCAGTATTGATGGCTTCTGTAGATCATTAATCGGGAAAGGCTTCATGCGTGTCTTTGTGACAGGCGATGTGTGTTCAGCAGGCGGTGTGACACTGCCACGCTTGTTTTTCTTATTTTGTTATGAGGTGTTGTAGAGATACTCCACTATAGGAGCAGGAGGGACTCTCCCGTTCAGGACAGCACTCCTCCTGCTGTCGGGGAGCAGGGTCAGTCCTGCTGCTGCGTCTCCAGCAGGTCGCTTCTGATAGCTTTTTTCAGGAGGGGAAGAGGGAGAGGTTCAGTAAATTACTGTTCAACTCTTACATGGTGGTGGCTTCGAACAAATGCATTTAGGCTGCATTCTCTGAGGATGAGAGCACGGTTTATCCTGTTGATAAACTGCGTATTTAAATAAAGCCTTCAGCAGCGTAATCTGGTAATTCTAATGAAGTCATTTACATAAAGAATTGGCCCCGGATCTCATCAGATGGCTGCTGGTGAGCTGCGGTGCATTCTTTCCCTCCAGCTGTATTAAAGTGGCCTTTTGATCCTTCCTTTTTTTTTTTTTTTAGCCTTTAAGCCACAGTGGTCATCACTTTGCAGAGTTAATTGAGAAAAGGAAGTTGGGGGACAAGAGCACCCTTCAAGGTTTAGCTTAAGTCTTAATTATTACAGTTCTAATTACCTCATTAAAAAAAAAAAACTTTCAGATTTTACATTGATAGAAATGGTTCTGTACAAATTGTTTTTGTAGAGGAAATGCACTGCCAGTAGGACAGCTTCAGTAAAATTCTACACTGGTAAATGATTACCAATAACTTATCTTGAAAGCAGTGTGTCTGCAGTGCCTTAATGATGCTCCCGCCCCGCGATAAGGTGGCTGCGTGTACCGAGGGTGGATGGACCCCACGTCCTTCAGACACTGCAGGAGTTGTTCTGCCTCCTGTTGCCTCATCCTGGTGACTGTGTGTGAGTGCTGCTGCTTGGAGGCATTTCTGTCTGTGTGAACGTGTTTTAAGCTATTCTTTATTTTCTTCATGTGCATCAGAGGAAAAAAAAAAAGCTAAAAACTCTCCCAAGCTGTAATATGAGGTGACTGAGAACTGCTGCTGTGTCATTGCTTTGAAATACCTCCTCCTGTTGAAACTTGGTGGGAACTTCAAATATACCATCGAAATATAATGTGGAATTTTGAAGCCTTTGAAGGATGGCTGTCATAGTGGTAGTAACAAAGCAGGGGAGTTCTGGTCCATGGTGATCCTGCCAAATGCTGCCTGTTCTTCCAGAAGTCTTCTCTTTCAGCCTCACAGCTGGAACTTTTTTTGTTTGGCAGTATGTACTAAAAATTGATCATAGTATTTTGTTACTGTGTTACGTGCACTTCTGCTGTGAGATGATACATCCTGAGCCAATTCTATGAGCAGCAGCAGAGCAGTGCCCTTTCTGTTGCTTCAGGCAGTGATTATTCCTACCTGTGAATAACTCGAGATATTCAAAGTGCAGGCAGAGCTGCACTTTGCTGTTGCACAGGAGGCTTTGCTGAGTGTTAAGGCTGGGTTTGTAAAAGTTCGTGTGTCTAAAAGGAGCTGAAGCCCCAGCTCCCACCAGAATGGCATCCCATGGGTCTGTGGTGGGGGGTATTGGCCTGGCTTGCAAAACTGGAGAAAAGTGAGGAAGCATCTGCTGAGCACAGGCTGTGTAAGCTCGTGTTCCTGCCTTTCAGCAGTGATTTGAGCGTGGTGGTTTGGTGCATCCAGCGGTGCTTGTTGGCTCTGTGCAGCTTGTCTTTGCCTCCTTCCATTTTCCTACTTACTTGATGTGTTCTCTACTGCCTTGCTGCCCAAGCACATGAGTTGATCCTTTCTGCTTCATCTTAATTTACGCGCGGCTCTCCTCAGTGAACTGTCCCTATCACAGGATGATATCCATAAAAATGACACTTCCTAGTCTTGAAAAAGCTCCCTGGGCCTGCTGGAGACGAGAGAAAAGGGCACCCAGCAGGAAGGGAGGCCCATGACTCGAAACGTTCATCAATCATTTTCCTGGCACCAGGAAACCAATCAGCCCTTCTAAGGGGTAGAGCATGATCAATCACCC